GTAGTAGTAGTAGTAGTAGTAGTAGTAGTAGTAGTAGTAGTAGTAGTAGTAGTAGTATAGTGGTACTACTATACATCAACACGGTTTGAGACAAAATTGGAGCCCCTCTTTTTTCTGTTGTTTGTAAAATAAGAAAAAAGAGGGGCTCCAATTTTGTCTCAAACCGTGTTGATGCTTTAGTAGTAGTAGTAGTAGTAGTAGTAGTAGTAGTAGTAGTAGTAGTAGTAGTAGTAGTAGTCTATAGTAGTAGTAGTAGTAGTAGTAGTAGTAGTAGTAGTAGTAGTAGTAGTAGTAGTAGTATAGTAGTCGTAGTAGTATAGTAGTATAGTAGCAGTGGTAGCAGTGGTAGTGGTGGTGGTGGTGGTGGTGGTGGTCTAGTGGTAGTGGTAGTGGTGGTGGTGGTGGTGGTGGTGGCGGTGGTGGTAGCAGCAGTGTAGCGGTATATGGTTGTATAGTATATAGGAGTGTATAAGACGTACATAGTAGTAACATGACAAGTGCAACGGTATAGTAGCAGTGGCACAAGCAGTATAGTCATACAGTATAAAGTATAGTAGTGTGCATAGCATATAGTATAAAGTAAGTGGGCAGAAGCAGAAGTAGCAGGAGCTTGTTTGTGAGCAAATACCAACTTTATCATGCCACCTTCGGAGCCTTCAGGGCCATGAGTCGTCTTGCAGCAGTGTCGACTGCTTCTGCTGTCAGCATGGCTTCTTCAGGAGCTTGGCACTATATGACCGTCAGCCAAATTGTAAGTCATGCGTCTAGCAACAGCCCTACATACTATCGCAGGTGCATCTATTCTTGAGTCGGCGGCATGTATGTGTCGATTCACTATTGGGTCCGGAGCTGCGGGCTATATTTCTCATTTGTGTAAAGAAGGTTTGGGCAGTTCAGGGTTCCTGCAGGCGTTTTATGTGTTTGGGTCTGCAGGTGCATGTGATAGCTCAGTCTAGCTAGCTACATATGGGCTTCAGTGCTGTGAAGCAACGAGCAGGCTTTGCAAGAGATAACACAATTAAGGGGCGGGTAAGGGAGTGGTGTTATATTTTATGGGTAGGCACATCAAAGTCGCGACCCCGGAACTACATTAACGAACCCCGGATCAAGCCTGTACAGCACCGGATCTTAAGGTCGTCTATATAGATAACCATATATGGGAAATTCGTTATATATATATATATATATAGGTCTGCATTATAGGGTCGCTAGCAGGGTTAAAAGCCCCCGTCAACAATAAGTCCGAGCAGAAGCCGACCCGAAGCCCTGAAGAGAACAACCCCGATCTTTTATTGGGCCTATTTAGATGAACTGGGTACGGTATATATGCAACAAATACAATTATAAATGCTTTCGGGATTTCGGGCTTGAAGGGTTCATGGTTCTGTATATAGATACCATATTTAGGGTTGTACACAGTCTTCACTATATAACCCATATATACGTACATTGGCCCCACACAGGTAAGCGAGCAGGGACTGCGATCCTGGCCAAAGCTGACTCCTCGCTGCAGCAGCGCATTGATGCTCTGGCCGCGTCTCATCTGTACCTGCACAACATATGTGACACAGCATGTTTTGTATACCCTTGTAGAGATCGAAGCAAGCGATGCATGCATTGCACATGACCACACTTTCCAGATGCCGGGCAAGTCTGTCACACTTTAAGCGCTTCACCCCATATGAGGTTCGTCCCCATGAATTTGCGACGTAGTACGGAATCGAGCAGTCTAGTAAGTAGACTTCGATGGCACATATTGGTCATTCTACAACTATATATAGTACCGAGCCAGCTTAAACTGTCAATGGTTGCTCACTTTCCACACTGTGTCGCACCCTTGAAGCTTGGTTTGCAGACGGAGTGCAGGCATATATATTTCCTGGTATATCAGGATAATTGTGTGCCCCAAAGACAGAACCCGCTCTCTGAAGCAGGCGGCTGTCAAAAACGGCTCAGCTGCCCCAAATAAGGCAGGCAGATCATACATATGTGCCGAAGCACACGACTACTGCTCCTCCAAACTCGCCCGAAACTCGTCCACACAGGTGAAAGCAATCTCAGCATATTCCTCATACGTCCCATGTGGCTTCGACTGAAACCTTGGCTTCACCATGGTCCAGAAAGGGTCCTGCACATACACAAACACACACACACACACACAGGCACACACACACAGTCACACTAGAAAGGTTCAGCTGGATCACAAGCACATGCACACATGTCCTCCTGTTTCGAAGGGCACAGAAGCGTGTCTTTGAGATAGTCATTGAAGCAATCACGAATTGCCGTCCATCGAGCACATGCCTGGCCACCCAGAGCAGGCATGTTGCGACCGGCAAAGGTTCCACGGTCACCGTCCTTGGAAGCCTTAGCCTTGCTCTTAGCCTTAGCCGTAGGCTTGGGGGTGGCAGCCTTTGTCGATGCTTTTGCGGTTGCCTTCGCCTGCGCTTTTCCGGTCGCCTTCTTGATCTTAGGTGGCTGCTTGTCATCTGCTGGCTTGCTCTTCGGCGAGTCCTGCTTGGTGACCTTCGCTGGCGTGTCAACGGCTGCATCATCATCAGGGGTTGGCTTGCCTCGCTTGGGGCTCACCTTTGGTGCACTGACGGGCTCATCCTGCTTAGGCTTTCTGGCCGGTGTCACAGGACCTGCTTTGGAACCCTCCTTCCCAGCTTTCTTTCCCTTTCCCTTTCCCTTTCCCTTGCCTTTGCCCTTGCTTTTGCACTGCTCCTTGTTGCCTTTGCCCCTGCCCTTCTTACCCCGACCTCCTTTGCCACCCCCACGACCGCCTCGACCCCGACCACCCGGCTTCCTGCCACGTTTTGCTGGCAAGGCTGATTGGTCCTCCTCGGCAACAGCTGTCTTGGCATCTGCAGCGAACTGGCTGGTCCGTGGCGGCGCACCCTGACAGGCAAATAGCAATAGACAAAACTAAGCACCAACACTTGGAAGAACCCTCGAGTCCAGCAGGGAGGAGGCTTGAGTTGATCGAGGGTTTTTGTATAGAGCTTGTTTATTTAGAATTACACAGGACTTCAATTAATGGGTTTAAAGGGCTTGCGGGATTTACGAGGACGATATAATGATTGGGCTTTCGTTCCGGGCCTTGAAGTCAAGCACCGATCCAGTCTCCTCAGATTGCAGCGGACCTGTGCTGGGCGGTGCCTCCGGTTCAGGGGCATGCTCGCTGTGTCCTGGGATTGCCGGGGTTTCTGCTGCAGCACCGATGGCATCACCACTTCGCAATGGGATTGTCGGGGCTTCGGTAGTTTCGCTTGGGATTGCAGGGGCTTCGGTTGCCTTAGTTTCGCCTGGGATAGCAGAGGTTTCTGCTGCAAGGGCACCTTCATATGCACTTTGTTCTGGGATTGCCTGGGTGTCGGTTGCCTCTGCTCGACCAGGAATACTGGATTCGTCAAAGCAAAGGGCCCTTTTGGGACCAAGTGAGGTTTCGGGCTCCATCGCTTTGGAAGCTGAGGCTTCTGGCTGTGCGGCATCTGCGGAGAACGGGCGCTGCTGGAGGCTGGGTTGAGAGTCGCAGGTGAGGTCCATGCAACTCGGCTGGTCGATCATACGGGCAGCGATGTTATCCGCATTGAAGAAGGGCTGCGTATCCAGCTGGGAGGGGTCGTGAAAGACACCTCCAAAATTGACTGAACCGTGCACATGTGCACGACCTACGAATTGATTCCGAATTGATTTGTGCGTGCAGTAGAAGCCCAATTGTTGGAAACATCAGATATACAGAGTATGTAATGTATATGGAATCACGAAGTGTCCTTATAATCCGGTTTCCAACTACCGGGGGCCCACTGTACAAGACAAGACACCTGATTTCTGGCGAGCCAACTGCTTCCTCTCGGCCAGCCGAGCCCTTAGCCATTTAGGACAGAACACTTCCATGCTAAGGCACAATGACACCGAATGTGTGAAAGAACACAGCAGCCACAACATAGACGAGCCACCGGATTGCTGCCAGTCGAGCAAGCTTCTCATCAACGGCCACACCCTCTCTAGGCCTTTTACCCATGGGCTTCACCGCCAAAGCCGGCACCGAATGAACCGTGGGCTCCACAACACCATGCCCACTAGTACTCCCCGACACCGACTGCTCAAGCTGCACGGGCTCCGGCTGCTCCACAACACCATGCCCACTAGTACTCTCCGACACCGACTGCTCAAGCTGCACGGGCTCCGGCTGCTCCACAACACCATGCCCACTAGTACTCTCCGACACCGACTGCTCAAGCTGCATTGGCTCCGGCTGCTCCACAACACCATGCCCATTACTCTCCGGGACAGACTGCTCAAGCTGCACGGGCTCCGGCTGATCCATAACACCATGCCCAACAATCTCCGAGACAGACTGCTCAAGCTGTGCGGGCTCCGGCTGATCCACAACACCATGCCCAACCATCTCCGAGACCGACTGCTCAAGCTGTGTGGGCTCCGGCTGATCCACAACACCATGCCCAACGATCTCCGAGACCGACTGCTCAAGCTGCGTGGGCTTCGGCTGCTCCACAACACCCCCGCCCATGTCCTGGGCAACCTGTTCAACCTCATGCTGATCAGGGTAACCATCATGCACAACAGCACCGTCATCAGGATACTCCTCGGTGTCCTGCCCCTCTTCATCATCCGACATCATGTTCGCAAGCACAAGGTAGGCATCTGCCACAACAAGAGAGCCCTCAGCAGCCTCTGGCAAACCGGTCCCTTCGATTGCAGGAGCACGAACCACAGCCGCTGGGGCATCCTCCGATGCAGGAACATCAGGCAAAAGAGCATTTGGGGCATCCTCGAGTGCAGCAACAGCAGGCACAAGAGCCGGTAATGGAGCATCTTCGATTGCAAGACTCCCGTCTCCCTCGCGCAGATCCTCTGGGGACCCCCATGTCTGCACCATCAGGTCCATGAGCGGCTGCAACCGTGCGTCCTTGCAGGGGTTGAACACACACTGACACACACACACACTAACATGGAACCCTTGCACACAAATCTCAGCAGAAGTGGTCCCTGAAGGATCGGATGCCAGCACGGAACCGTCTGATGGCGAGGCTGCACAGCCTCTTGCAACCCCATTGGTCGACCACGATATCCACCGCATCGGCTTGATTGAACATCTCATGAAGCCTCTTCACCTACAGGGCTGCAGGACTCATGGTGATGTGCATGACCGAAGACTTAAATACTCCATTCTCAAAATCCCTCACCTCGTCCCTCATCCATTTGATGGGCACTGATTTCGGCTCTTCGCAAACAGAACCCCACTGCTCAATGAGGATCATGATCGGAGTTCTGTTCAAAACCAAAGCCGCTTGGCTTGCAGCCCCAATCGTAACTCGACTGGGCCAGCTGAGGAGCTTGCGGCCATCTCGCATCTGCTGCCTGATCAATGCATTATTTTCCCAGGCTTTGGCAAGTTGACCCGCAGGCGGTAGTATCACCTCCAACACGGCTTCCTCACCTTCGTTGATTGCATCAGCATCCCTTATAGCAAGCATTGCTGGCGACACAACAGCACAGTTCACACCGGCCGGAGCAACACAGCTGAGCCAGCACTTCGAACGGGCGTGCCCACACATGATAACCACACTCACATACACACCCGTCACAACATTTGCAGTTTTGCAGGGCACTCGGACTACAGGGCACCTCCGTCCAAAGGGAGGTCAATGCCACCACAAGTAGAACCAGTCCACCTCAAGGTCGCTCAACCGCTGCATCTGCACAGAAAAACATGGAAGCTTACACGAGAACTAAGTATATGTCCCAGGCGCCGAGCACACACAAGCGAAACTTGAAGCCACGATCCACCACCTGGGGCAGGGAAGCTTCAGATCGGGTGCTATATACATGGGGTTCTATATATAGATACTATTCAATGCAGTTTTCATACGAACTTCCTGAAGTCAATACATGTGAATGCAGGCTGGCCTTCTTGGAAGCTTCGATCGGGATCGGCAGCTGGGCGCAGCTGCAGGAGACCTGCATGCCATCGACAGTTTTCCCAGTAATCTGGCTCGATCAGGATCACATACTCACCAATACAGAAATATATTACCTGGTACCCTTCTAAAACCTGAACCCATGCAGCCAGCCGCCTTCTCTCGGGATCCGGAGAGAATCTGGAAAACAGGGGCTCCTCGACTCATCACCTGCGTAGGGAGGGGCTTCGGAGTGAGGCTGGAGTACTCGATGTTTCAGCAGGCAACGAAGTATATAGGCATGTGTTTTTCGCTGCAGACCCGCACGACTGTAGCCTCCTATCGAGTTCCCCAGGTGCGCCATTGCACGGTTCTCAACAAAACTGAGATTGCCCCGACCCTGCATGCCCATATTCGTGATCACCATCATGTAGACCTTGCGAGGAGGGAGGAGAATCAGCTGACATCGCTTGCACTACACCGGCTCCAAAAAAGCACCGATCTGCTGGGCTCTATGTGGGCCTGCCTCAAGGGTCCAGCATCAGCACTGTCGAAGTAAATCTTGAAGAAGTAGCAGATCCCTCCGAGGCGTATGTTGCTAGTGATGATCTCGACAATGTCATCTGCAGCAGGAAGCTCCTCGTCATATCGGAACCCTAATAAATCTGATGGAACTCTAAAGACCCACCTATATACAGAAGTACGAGACCCTTCTATTGCAAGCACTGCACCCCTATAAATCTTCGATTTTATCCCGCAACTACCAACGATAACCGGTATAGTGTTACTTTAGGATGTCCTGGTCTGCATAAAGGACATGCACACAGGATCGCCAGAACTGGTTTGGCATATGCATCAGTCCTGCAGCACAATAGAGGATTATACATAGGTTCAGTATGTTACCCTAGCATAAGATCGGAATAAGTCCTGCAGCATGGGCCATCTCGACTCCCTTTGCTGAGCAGGTGCTCACACAGGAAGCCATTATTCGGCACAGAAATCGAAACAAAGTTTTCTCGAATCTGTAGTGCCTTGAGCAGGATGTTTGGCCGAGCACAGCGTTTGCATTTTGCATGCACACCACATCAAAGCTGCAACGGTACAGCTGCAATGCAGAGGAGGGCTGACCTCTTCACCATGCTGTCACGGCAGCACATCACGAAACAACCCAGCGTGGAATTTGCTTGTGTCAGAGCTGGGAATCGATCATGGAAAGTCTCCGGTCAGCGACCGTTGGGTGTGCTATCAGGTGTGTTACACAACAGGCTGTATAGATGCTTGAAGTCACTAGCTTGGTCAGGTGTTGCAAGAAACGCACTGGCTGATTGTAAGAAACGCACTGACCGAGAATTAACTTCATACAAGAAACGCACTGAGCTACGATCAAAAGCGCAATGTGTGCGAACAAGAAACGCTAGCATTCGGGCATGCTCTTGATCTCCAAATGCCTGTTTAGGCAAGAAACGCAGTCACAACAAGGTTTCCGCCATGTCCCCGGCAAAACCAGAAATTTCCGAAAGAGCAATAATTATGCAGCAAACGGTTTCAAAGGAAATCCAAGAAATCCGAGGGGCCTTGGAAATGGCCTCCGGAAAAGGAACGGGCACTGCAAAATCGACGATTTTGGTGCTTTTGTGGTGTTCCGCCCGATTTCGGCAGCCTTGGAAACCGGAAATCCTTGAAAATCCGAGGGGCCAAGGAAATGGCTTCCGGAAAAGGAGCACGTACTGCAAAATCGACGATTTTGGTGCTTTTGTGGGGTTTCTTCCATTTCGGGCTTTGGAAGCCGGAAATCCTTGAAAATCCGAGGGGCCTTGGAAATGGCCTCCGGAAAAGGAGCGGGTACTGCAAAATCTGCGATTTTGGTGCTTTTGTGGAGTTTCCCCCTTTCGGCGGCTTTGGAAGCCGGAAATCCCATGAAAATCCGAGGGGCCTTGGAAATGGCCACCGGAAAAGGAGCACGTATTGCAAAATCGACGATTTTGGTGCTTTTGCGGTGTTTCCCCCATTTCGGCAGCCTTGAAAGTTGGAAATCCTTGAAAATCCGAGGGGCCTTGGAAATGGCTTCCGGAAAAGGAGCACGTACTGCAAAATCGACGATTTTGGTGCTTTTGTGGGGTTCCCCCCATTTCGGCAGCCTTGGAAGCCGGAAATCCCTTGAAAATCCGAGGGGCCTTGGAAATTGCCTCCGGAAAAGGAGCACGTACTGCAAAATCCATAGGGCTTTGGGGCTTTGAGGGCTTGCTTGCTCTTCCTCAACCCAATCCATGCCCACGACCCTCAACTTCCTCAGCATCTACTGAAGCAGCGGTCAAATCGTTGCCCAGACCGTAGTACGCGCCTATATAGCAGCAAACACAAGCCTACGTACATAGTTGACTACTTGAATTGAGTTTGGGCTGTCATTCAGCACTGTGTGGCCACAAACGGGTACTATAGGGGCCTTAATGATTAGAATAGGCTTTGGGGTACATGATACTGTAATCCTTCCCCCCAAAAAAATCGCATAGGTAAATATTGAGGCCCCCAGAGTACAGCTTTGTTTGCGCAGTTTCACAGCCTCAGATCTTGGGCTGGGCTGGAAAATGTAGGCGCCTTAATTATTAGAATAGGGTTTTGGGCTCTTTTATCGTACAACTACAACAACGAACCCTAGGCAATAATGTAGGCAATTATTTGGGGCATTTAGGAATTTCCGAAAACAGGGGGACCCTGATGTACTACCCCAAACAGTAGGATTCTTATTATAAGGACCCCCAAACAAGGTACCCCTAACTTTCGGAAACTCCCATTTAGGGTTCTCTACTAGACCTGCGCCTGAACCCGTCATCGCCGGGATTGGATGCTACGAGCCAGGAGCCATAAATCCGCGCGCCGGCCTCGCCGTTGAAGGAAGCTCCATCCAGCTCCAGTGCCTTCGGCACAGGAAAGATACAACAGTAGTACTTTTCGCCGTTTTAGTCATTGACGCGGGGGAGCAGGAGTCCTGGAGTGGAGGCAAAGCCAATAGTGTGTGCCTCGTCGAAGCAGGAGCCGTCGATGTCGTCGTCAGTTTAACAGGACGCAGAATGAGAGACGCCAGACTGGTGCCCCGTAAAAGCACATAAGCAAAAATTAGGATTGGGATATCCCATCTAAACCTCCTCATAATGAAGCCCAATAAGGTAGGGATATTCCTCTAACACATTGTGCTTATGTCCTTTGTCGGTCCCTCAAAGAGTGGTGATCTATGCTGTAGCCGCAGAGGATGCTGGCGATGTCGGTATTCGCAATCACTGCATACCGAGCAGTCGTAGTCGGAGGACTAGGAGTAGGAGTGGGGGAACGAGCGGTAGTAGTAGGAGTAGTGATCGGAGTAGGAATAGGAGCAGGGGCAGAAGCAGGAGTAGAAATACTGGTTCGGTAGCAGTAGTAATAGCAGCAGTGGTAGTATCAGTCGTCGTCGTCGTCGTAGTCGTAGTCGTAGTCGTAGTAGTAGTAGTAGCAGTAGTAGTAGTAGTAGTAGTAGTAGAAGTAGAAGTAGAAGTAGAAGTAGAAGTAGAAGTAGAAGTAGAAGTAGAAGCAGAAGTAGAAGTAGTAGTAGTAGTAGTAGTAGTAGTAGTAGTAGTAGTAGTAGTCGTAGCAGTAGCAGTAGTAGTAGTAGTAGCAGTAGTAGTAGCAGTAGTAGTAGCAGTAGCAGTAGCAGTAGCAGTAGCAGTAGTAGTAGTAGTAGTAGTAGTAGTAGTAGTAGTAGTAGTAGTAGTAGTAGTAGTAGTAGTAGTAGTAGTAGTAGTAGTAGTAGTAGTAGTAAGGGGAGGTAGGTAGGTAGGTAGGTAGGTACGTTAAGTAGATAGGTAAGTAGATAGTATATAGTGAGATAGTATTTTCATTGTTAGTAAAGCAGTAGCAGCAGCAGTTGTTTCATGTAGCAGCAATTAGCAGCAGCAGCAGCAGCAGCAGCAGCAGCAGCAGCAGCAGCAGCAGCAGCAGCAGCAGCAGCAGCAGCAGCAGCAGCAGCAGGGGAGGAAGAGAAGGAGTAGTAGAAGTATTGCCGGTGGTGGTGGCGGTGGTGGTGGTGGTGGTGGGGATGGTGGTGGTGGGGGTGGTGGCGGTGGTGGTGGTTGTGGTGGTGGTGGCGGTGGGGGTGGACGTGGCGGTGGCGGTGCGGGTGGCGGGGGCGGTGGCGGTGGCGGTTGCTGTTGGTGGTGCTGGTGCTGGTGGTGCTGGTGGCGGTGGCGGTGGTGGCGGCGGTGGAGGTGATGGTGGTGTCGACGGCGATGAGGATGATGATGATGATGATCCCGTTGGTGATGATGTCGGAGTTGCTTCAGGGCTGCTTGTTGCTCGTCGGGTGGTTCCGGGCTGCTCGAGTTGCCGTGCTGCTGTTGCTGCTGCTGTTGATGCTGATCTTGGTTTGTGGTTGTTGTAAATACTTGTTGTAGTTGTTAATCTTTCCGTTTCCCATTCATGGCTCAACGCACGAGCAAGTAATCACACAAGAGTCACAGCATGGGATGCCTTCTTCATGCCCGCAGCCGCGGCGAAGGTCACGAAGCAGAGCTTCTTAGGCATGTCCTGCAGTGCCCGTTTAAGTGAGATGACAGAACGCATCTGCTCCTCAAACTTGAAAGTCGCTGTGGACATTACTTTTAGCACGTGTGCAGGTAGTCAGACCTTGCTAAAGTAGGCAAATCAAGAACCACGGCACAAACAGCAGCTGCTGTAAATCCAACAAACACCACCACCACTTGCATGACCCAAACCAGAGGAATTCTTCGGCAGCCGAAAAGACACAACCCGCAGAGTGTACAGGGCCTCGGAAGGCTGTCCAGCCAGCATGTGTTTACTGAAAATTCGCTTCTGGCAGCAACTTTGTGACCGGAGACGACGCAAACACGAAGCCGTGAACCAAAGGTGTTAAACCCCGCAACATGCCTAGACTTTATGCTTCCAACCAGAAGACCTGCACAGATTCAACCAGCTGAGTCCTGCAAACAAACGGAGCCCGAAGCGAAGAATCGAGCCACTTGGCTCTAGTAATAGTAATGATCATATTAACAGGAATATTCATAAACAATAACAACAAGAATAGTAGGAACAGTTATCATAATTATGAGAATTATGATAGTCATAAGTATTCATAACACAAAGCCCTCCAAACCTTTGGGCACCCAAAGCTAGAACTCTTGGGCATTGTGTTTTGCTGTGCTGGGGCCTCAGTTCAACCTCCATCGTCCTTAAATCGTAGGGCACGATCAAATTGGGTTGTAAATTTCATCTAAAGCTCCCTAAACCCTAAACCCTAGAGAAAGGACTGCTGTGGCTTATCTTGTGCTTCTCTTCCCACGCCACAACAGTCCCCTCTCAAACCCCTAAGCCCTAAACCCTAGAAGCTCAGCAACTGCAGGGCCCCGGCGACACTGACGATGTCACCGCAGGCAGCGAACTTCTTTCGTATCGCCGCCTGGAAGGGGATTGAAAGATTCAAGGCCTGGGGTTCGGGCTTTGGGTTCAGGTTTGGGGTTTAGGGTTGAGGGTTTAGGGTTTGGGGTTTAGGGTCTTCCATAGGGCTTTAAGGGTTTAGGATTAGGGATTAAGGAGGCTCAGCAGGCAACTCATCAAGAGGAGGATCAATATGAAGCATGAAAAATTGCAGTAGTATTCCTTAGGGTATCCTCTGGTAAGTATGCTTTTTTATAATGTACCCCAAACCATTATTCTAGACATTGAAGCCCCTACAGTATTCCGTGGGTCCGCACAAGAAGTGTGCCCTGCCCCCGTACGTTAAGACGTTCAGCATAGTGGGAAGGATGGTGAATTGGAGGCTCATGGGTAGTCATAAGTGGAGTCATAAGTCCCCTAGGTATCAATATACTTACCCTACTGCTAACCCCACTTATAACGACCCATGAGCCTCCAAGTAATCTCGAAACCCTAAACCCTACCTGTATGTCATGCTCTGTTCCAGTGCTACAAACAACGAGTGAGAAGCTCGCAAGAGCCGAAAATGGTCGTGCTTGCTTGCGTGCACATACCAATATATAGTCGTAATAATTATAGTAACGATAATAGTCATGTGCATAACAAGCGAGCACGCGGCTCCTGTGTAAAGGCTTCAAGTTGGTTTGGGCGGAGTCTGAGCACATCTGATCTGCTACTACTTAGGTTGCAAGTTTTGCTGTTAGTCCTTAACATTGTAGCGGCGGTTTTGGAAGTTGTACAAGTAGTGGTACTTGGTGTTAGTGACTGAGATAGCGTCGGAGTCGCAAACGCAGCAGCACGAGGAAACAGAAGTGCCACCAGAAGCAGCAGCAGCAGCAGCAGCAGCAGCAGCGAAAGCAGCAGCAAGGAGAAGAGCAGCCGCGGCCACTGCAGCAGATTGTACATTGTATTGCATGTTTTTTTACATCGATGTAAAAAAACAAACATGCATTACAATGTACAGCATGAGCACGACTCGCAGCAGCCGCACAATAGCTACAATCACAGACGCCAGCTTCATCTGGCCGTGAACCGGCAGTAGAGTTGGGGTGTCGGGTTTAGGAGTTCAGGGTCAAGGGGCATAGGTTTCAACTATGGCCCATCATTGGTCCTGGACCTGACCGTAAACCAGGTTCTCGCTGATCCTTTATGCTGAAACATCGTCGGCTCACCGACGACATCCTACATCCCGAAAACACCAACCATCCCCCAGACTCTAAATTCCAAGGGTAAAAGGAGGGACCCTTAATAAGAACCCCTAGGTATATACCCTTAATATAGCTATTATATACCCATTATATAGCCCATTATAGGGTAGGGGTCCCCACTAAGGGTCCCTCCGGGCAGTAGTGATAACACTAGTAGAACCAGCCATTCACAGCAGTCACCGCGAAGATACCAGCAACAAAAGTACGACTCAGAAAGATCTTCAATGAATAGCAACGACATTTTCTAGAAGAGGAGGTATTGCATTTATGCTGTAGACTATAATAGAAGAGGAGCCCGGAGGAGCATTTATTCATCAAGCCAGTCCGACCCCTGTAGTAAATGGGTTCGTGCGCTCAGTGCACATCCCCGTCTCTGCGGCCTCTTCCTCCTGGCGACGATTACGGCTGAGGGTTTTAAAGTCTAAGGTTTAGGGTTACACTAGCTGCACTAGCTCACATGAAACTAGATGTAAGGCGGGCATATGTAGTGTAGCTTGACCTGACGACCCATAGCTCGACGGCACATTCCGTGCTATGAACTACCTTCACCCGAAAACAAATTGTATAGGGAAATACTACTGGACCAAGAATCAAGCTCCGTGTCGCAGTGTTCTGTTTGTTCTGCTTTTGCAAAGGGCGAAGGAATGAAGGAATGCGTGCGCCGCGAAGAGCGTCTCGGAAAGCCGGAAACGCGGTGGTTCAGGATCAGAGCACATCAGCGTTGGATTTCTGTTTAGGGCTTTATAGGGTTTTAAGTTTTAAGGTAATTAACAAGAAAAGAATGGTTCAGGCGTGCTTGGGCTTGAGGATCTTGGGAAAGCCTCTTTTCACCCTACAGGCGCCTCAACCTGCAGTTTGGGGTGTAGGACTGATGTGTCTTGGGGACGAATGTCTAAGTACAGGGGCCCGGATACCATATAACTCCAAAAGAGAACCCATTAAATCAGTCAAACCATATCTATAGACTCGAGGGAGATGTCGTTGCTGATTCTTCAGACCTCTGCAGTCAAAGCTTTCCGGCACCGGGAGATTTTGGTGAGCGTTGGCGGGAAAGTTGCCTTCGGTCTACTCGAAGCCCTACACTGTCATATCTCAACCTCTGAAACATAAATCGTGTCTACAAAAGCTTGAAGCCCTGACTCAAGATTCCTGGAATTTCTCAACGGTACACCGGCTCCTTGGACCATTTGATGTCGCCAACGTAAACTTTTCGCGAATCTTCATCATCATCCTGGCAAGCGGTAAAGGCCTTAGAGCTGGGGGGTTGCAATGCCCAGGGCAAGTTAATTCAACCTGTGTCAACGAAGTAAGAAGCATGGATATCGCCATCCCAAGACCCTAAACCCTACAAACCTTGAAGCCGGGCCTTATAAACCCAAAACACCAAGCCGGTTTTGTATCTCGAAAAGCCTCCAAACCCCGAGACGTATGTAAACCCTGGAGATCCCAACTTTTCCACCCCTAAACCCTAAAAACCCTAAACCCTGCAAGCTTTTGTGTGTCAGCTTGGCTGCTCTGTCGTGCAAGACATGTCATCGCAGCTATGAGAGGATCGAGTAATGCGAAGAGGGGAAAACCGAGCCATACCGTTCTGCTTGGGCCGAACTGAGTAAGCTGGGACCTCGCATTCGAGCATCTCTCTCTGCCAGGGCCTTTCCGATCGTGCAAGCACCGCTTGCATGGTAGCGGAGCCGCTTCCAGAGAAGTGGCTCAGGAGATCCAGGGAAGACCTGCTCCCGTTCGACTGGACGCAGGATGACAAGTGGTGCCGAGCAGCCCAGCGGGCTGTCGAAAGGCCGAGACGGAGTTCCTTCATGGGACGGAACGCCCGCGAGTTTTCAAGCATTCGTGGAGGCAGCCGAGTTGTTTGAGCAATCGACCCCCTACCACAAACGTTACCTATGTGGGCCCCGACTGCAGGCGGAACTGTCGGGATCAGCCCGGAGACATGTGGTGGGTCAACGGGCCGATTGGTTATCCAACAACAAAGGCGTTGATACCCTACTCCAGCACCTCCGACAGTGCCTGGGACGACCCCAGCTGCCGGAACTCACCGAGCTCTTGACGCAGTACTTCAAAGGTTCACGTCGTCATCAAGGTGAGTCCATGGGCAGTTACATATCAAGGAAGTGCGAACTTTACATTCGCGCCCAACAGGCCATGCGGAGAGTGCAACCTCACCATGGCCCACTGGCAGGCCCTCAAGGAGGAGCGGCGATGGGCTGGCTTCGACCTTGGGGAGGCAGCGGCTGGGCCAGTCGGCGCAGCAGCATGGACTCGCAAGCCAGTGGCGCGGATGCGGAGTCGGAGCCCGCTTCCCAGGCAGCCGCGCCTACAGCAACGTCACTCCAAGGAGAAGGGACCGAGGACGAGCGGCCTCAGTGGAACTGGAAGATGCGTGGCACTCCTGGGACTGGAATTGGGGAAGCGCGTGGCAGGGCCAGAGTTCGTGGTACTACTCAGCAGGTGGGAACTATGAGACTCGGGCCACGCCGACCCTGCCAGAACTGGTTCCTGAGTTCGTACAGGCATGGTACTTGTTGCAGGACGCGGGGCTCGAGCAGAATGAGAAGAACCTGGTGTTGACCGCCATCAAAGGAGAGATGGACCTTCAGAAGATGGCCCAGGAGCTTCGGACCCAGTGTCCGGAGCCCGAGCTTCGACGCCGAGATCAGCAACGACGACACCATGGATATTGGGGTCACACGGAAGGCGGCGAGGACTCGGAGGACGACGAGCAGGGCGGCCCGGACATGGTGTTCAGTGCCGAACAGGAGTTGAATGAAGAGGGCTATGCGCTGTGGTCTTCGGCAGCATCGGAGGCTGAAGAGGCCTTGGCGGCCCTCCAAGGTGCACGGCGCACCCTGAAGGACGCACGGGCTCGCCAACACCAAGTGAAGATGAACAGAAAATACTTTCGTGGTGGACCCAGTGGCGGCCGAGGAGGACACCAGAGTACGGGACCACCCCGAGATGACTCTCGAATGACCTGCCTACGGTGTGGAAAGGTGGGCCATCGCATCGCGAATAGCCCTCAGAGTGCCGACTACAAGAAAGAGCCTGATGCTCAGGCTCCCTTCGTCTGCTTCGCCACTGCCGGAGTTGTGACCGAAGAAGACGACCAGGCATTCTCAGTGGAGGCGCCCACCACGCAAGAAGCCGTGCTCCAAGGGAAGTGCGTGCTAGACAGCGGGGCGACCCGGAGTCTTGGGTCGGCACATGCAATTGAGCAAGTGATGCGCTTGAGTTCGGGTGCCGTGTCTCACATCGATGTGGGCGATTGTCCAAAGTTTGGCTTTGGCAACAGCTCGGAGGAGCGATGCGTCTCCACCGTTCACTTCAAGGTCAAAGCTCAGGGACAAGATGGCACGCTCAAGGTGCACGCCCTTTCGGGCGGCGAGGGTCCGATATTGTTCTCGATAGAAGCGCTCAGGAAGCTCAAGGCCATTGTGGACTATGACTCCGACATGGTAGTCTTCAGGGCCCTGAACCCCAAGCGCCTCATACAACTTGAGCAGTCCACGTCAGGACATCAGATCTTTCCCCTCACCGAGGACTTCTACACGAACTCTGTGGAGGCCGACCGAGAAGTACCAGGTCTGATGTCGTATGCACCGAAGGCCGAGCCCACCGCCGAAGCTCAAGAGTAGGGACAGCACCTTTCCTTTTTGCATCCGGAGGAAAAAGGAAAGGAGACCGGAGTCAGACAGTCCGGAAATGGGGTTTCCACAGCTGAATCAAGTTGTGATGATCGTAGAGTTAATGTTTTGCATTGCAATGCTCCCACACGTGTACAGAAGGAGTTTGATAAAGAGTGTGATAGTGATGATGGTGGTGATGGTAGTGATGATCGTCAGTGTGAGAAGTCAGGTGATCCAACGTTGCAGGTCCAGTGCCACATGTGTGCAGCCTTGATCTCGAATCGCTCGACAAGTGACCTTCCCACGCGTGATCTTGAGCATCTCAGCCCTCCAGAACATGGCCGACCTCACCAGTGCCGAGCTGCGCCAAGCTCTCGCCCAGTTGGGAGAGACGCCGCCGGCCAAGTGGACGAAGCCCGAGTTGCGACTGAGGCTCGAGCAGCTGACGAAGGAGGACATGTCACAGCGTGTGAAAAAGGAGAGCAAGCAACGCTCCCCCTACGAGGAAATGGTACGCCGAATGAACGCGGCATCCAAGCGCAAGGCGACGCTCATCGAGTTCTGCCGTCAGGAGCTCAATATGCACAACCTGGACAGCTGGACCATAGTTCGCATCCAGCACGAGGCCATGAAGAAGATCTACGAGGTTGCCGAGGCCGATGCCTCGGACATGGTGGGCTTCGGGATCCATGGCCGGCTGACGTACCGCGAACTTCGTTCCCAGCAGCCCGGCTATGTCAAGTGGGTCAAGGACACAGCCCGCACAAACAAAGAGGAGGCCGACACACGGCTTCTGCGATTGGCACGATGGCTGGAGAGCGAAGGGGACGAGGAGATGATTGCCGATGCCAAGAAGATCGACTACAAGAATCTCAAAGTGGAGAAGAGCGAGGCCAAGGGAAAAGGATATCCTTCAAGCTCCCCAGCCACGGGGTCAACGGAGGATCCGACGATGACCATGATGAAGAATATGTGCCAGGCCATCGAGAGCCTACAGAGTCAAGTGGCCGAACTCCGGATCGAGCCTCGGCGCAAGATGGTGGCGAGCAAGGAGGAGTACGAGAGCGAGAAGCCTACGCCTCGGGGTGCCAAACCGAATGGTACAGCCTGAACGCCAATGACGACGATGACGAGTGTGAGGGTGGCTCTGTAAAGAAGTCCGATCCACAGGAAGCGACTGCCTTAAGTGCCTCTCAGAAGCTTAGTCAGCAGCTGACCTTAGGTAAGGCCCGGAGCTTAGAGACGAAAGCCTGGTCCCTAGCCCCAGAGTTGTTCCAAGGTCTAGTGCGAGGCAGTCGTCCAGTGCTTATGGAAGTAGCATGTCACCCAGACAGTCGCTTGTCAGCCAAGATCCAAGAGTTAGCGCAGGATGATCAAGCCGCAGTCCGTTGCTCTCTGTGGAATGCGTGTAACCTAGAAACCAATGATGGAGTGCGTTTGGTGTTGCAGAGATTGGATCTTGAGAGACCTACACACTGTTGGATTTCGCCACCGTGTGGTCCCTACTCGACCATGCAGCAAGCCAACAGCCGCACTGAGGAACAGAAGCAAGAATTGCAACAAAAGCGGGCGCGCGCCATGCGGGCCTACGTAGGATCATGCATAGTCTTTCACGCATGTGTACAGCGAGGTATCCATGTCACGATAGAAATGTCCGAACATTGCCAAGCTTGGAGACTCCCAATCTTCGCTCAACTGAGGGCTAAGTATAACCTGCACGAGGCAGTCACCAAGGGATGCCGCGTGGGACTTCGAGGAGGCACGCAAGAGCCTCTGATGCAGAAGGGGTGGCGAATCCTGACTACTCAGGAAAGGCTGGCCACTGAGCTTCAGTTACCATGTCGTTGTAGTAAGAACTACAGGCATGGTAGGAGTGAAGGAAAAGCGTTGAAAGACAGCGAGTGCTACACGAAAGAATATGTGCGGCGAGCGGCTGCAGCAATCATGTGCGAGCACACACAACAGTCCTTGCAGTCCGAGTGTGGTTTTCAGGCCAGGAGTGTGTTGCCAGACCAGTTTGGCGAGGGTCCCGTCTGTACGTGTTCGGACGTGAGCCTTCCCCAGCGACCCCGGAGATGCAGCAAGTGCTGCCAAGAAGATCGGGTTCCAGGTGAAGGGATCGGGGGTTCGGTTGGGGACGTTTCAGAGGGAATAGAGGAAGGTTGGAAGGCTTGGGATGAGGCCGCAACAGGATTTCTGAGTTCACATGCAGAAGAAGTCTCCGAAGCCGAAGCTGAGGCCCGAAGGCTCCTAGCTAGTTCGAACTTTAAGCACGCCTCATGTACTAACCTCGTAGGACAAATCCCGATGAAACACAACGAGAGGCACAGACTCTTGGGCCCTAAAAACCAAGGCTGCCTACCAGTTCTCGGCATGTACGCGTATGGCAACCAGTATGGAGTGACCCGGAGCACGCGACAACTTCCCCATACGACCCAGTATCTCCTGCAATATCTTCAATATTGGGCCAAAGAACCGTTTGAAGTGTCGACTTTGGTGTTGAATAGAAACAACAAGTGTCCGGTCCACCGAGATGTGCACAACCAGGACGGGACCATGAACCGGATAATCGGCCTAGGAACCTACGAGAAAGGACAATTGTGGGTTCAAGAGGGCCCGAACAGTACCAGTCAAAACCTCACAGCCCAGGTACTTCCCGACGGGACAACAGCGCAAGGGCGTCTACACGACATCCACAACCGAGTGCTGGCGTTCAACCCGAAGGCCTGGCACGCTCCGACTGATTGGAGCGGAGAACGCATGACGTTGACCGGTTATGTGGCCCGAGGTAGCAGTGAACTTGAGAGTGAGTCCAGGGAATTTCTTCAGGGCTTGGGTTTTCAGTTGCCGGGGTTAACGGTAGGCGAGAATCAGCCCCAACAAGCCTTGGCCCTTCAACAACCTGCGGCAAGTAGCTCGAGGAAGACCCCAGACCCCAAGGTTCGAGACGAACAAATCAAGAAACAACTGTATCTTCTTCATGCGGCTACTGGACATGGGAGTGTGAAAACCATGGTTGAAGCCTTAAAGAGACGACAAGCCGAGCCGCGTGTGATTGAACTTGCGAAGTCATTTGAGTGTTCGGTGTGTAAAGAAAGGGGTCGCATTCAGAGTAGACATCTGGCCTCCCTGGAAGCCTTGCCTCCCAAGTGGCATACCATTGCCGCAGACATTGGACACTGGAAGCATCCCAAAACAGGAGAATCAGTGCAGTTTATGTTGATAATTGACGAGGGTTCCAGGTTTCGGATAGGCAGGGTGTTGAGTCGAGGGTCCAAACAACAACCCAATGCGGCAACGTGTCTAGGATACTTGCGTGAGGGCTGGGTGCAGTACTTTGGAATGCCAAGGGCCCTTCGATTGGATCCGGCGGGGTCCTTCAGAAGTCAAGCGGTTCAGGATTTCTGCGATAGGAACAATGTGTATCACGACAACATACCCGCGGATGGTCATTGGCAGATAGGAGTGTGTGAGCAGGCGATTCAAGGTGTGAAGACGGTGATGACTAAACTGGTGGATGATGATGACCAGGTGACGCCGGAAGAAGCTTTGGCGCAAGCCGTCCATGTGTTCAATGCTAGGGACCATGTGAGGGGTTTTTCGCCCGTGCAGCATGCGTTTGGCAGAAGCCCGGACATTACAGGAAGACTGTTGGAGACTTCCCAGCAGGTTCCAGACGAGCTTGTTCTGGAGAGTGCTACAGAGGAGTTTGAGCGATCGGCCCGACTGCGGGCCGAGGCGGAAAAAGCACATGCACAATGGCACATGGAGCAGAGAATCACTCGAGCCTTGAACTCACGAGCCAAGCCGGTGTATGATTTCAGGCCCGGCGAGCTAATCTATTTCTGGAGGAGTCAAGAGTCTGGACAGAGCCGCACATCCCCCGGAAGTAAGACGGGACGGTTTCTTGGCCCGGCGAGAGTTCTCGCAACGGAAACCCGTCGCGAAGCTGACGGGACGCTACGTCCCGGTAGTGCCGTATGGTGTGTGCGAGGCAGGTCTTTACTGAAGTGCTGCCCTGAACAACTTCGACATGCATCGGAACGTGAAGAACTTTTGGAAGGGTTAGCAAAGACTCATGGCGAGCCAGAGACACCCTGGACTTTCACCAAGGTGGCCGAGGAAATTGGCGGCAATCAATATCAAGATATCTCTGATGAGAAGCCGGAGCCCAGCGAGTGGGAGCGATCACAAGATGTGCGCGAGGAGGTGCCTCCTGTGAGGTACCGCTTCCGAGGGAAGCGAGCCGAACCGGAACCCAGTGATGAAGTCATGGAAGAGCCAGGAGAAAGCCGCACACCATCGCAACCATCACGACCGCGTACAGCGGCCACGGCTAATTTTATCGATCACGGTGAGCGCTGGACAGAACGGGTTCCCAGCAAGGACTGGGCCACCGAAGCAGTTCAGTTCTGGGAGCACCAGGACGCCGCGGTGGAAGTGGAGATCGCGATGCCGGAGACCAAGAAGCACTGGGAGAAGGCCGCAGCGAACATGCAGGGTTTCTTTGTTGGAGCTCTCAAAAGAAGAGCCGTGGAGGTTTCAGAGAAACGCTTGACACCGCAAGAGCTCTCCCAGTTCAAGGAGGCCAAAGCGGTAGAGGTCAAGAACTTTCTGGCGGCCGAAGCCTTTCAGGTGTTGCCCCCACATTTAAGGCCCAACGCTTCACAGGCCATTGGAATGCGTTGGATCCTTACCTGGAAAACCCGGGAGGATGGCACGCGACGTGCGAAAGCACGTGCTGTCCTGCTGGGCTATCAAGACCCAGGATATGAACATCGTGCAACTACGGCACCGGTTATGACGAGGCAGTCCAGACAATTGTTATTGCAAGTGGCTACCAACCGGCGATGGGTCGTACACAAGGGCGACGTGTCAGGGGCATTCTTGCAGGGACGTCAGTACCCCAGCGACTTATATTGCATACCTTGCGACGAGATATGCCAGGCCATGCAACTTCCTTCAGGAACCGTCACCAAGTTGAAGCGAGCATGCTACGGATTAGTCGACGCACCATTGGAGTGGTACCGTACAGTACATAGCTTTCTTCTTGAACTTGGCTTCGAAAGAATATGGAGTGATGCTTGTGTGTGGACATGGCGCAAGAACGGGGTCCTCAGAGGCGTTATTTCAGGTCATGTGGATGATTTCTTGTTTGCTGGAGGAGCCGACGACCGGGAGTGGCAAGAAGTGTTAAAACAGATTCAGGAGCGCTTCAAGTGGGGGGACTGGGACACCGGGAAATTCACCCAATGCGGAGTTCAAGTGGAACAGACTGATGACGGGTTCCTGCTTTCCCAAAGCACTTACCTAGAGGACACTCCCGAGATTCCCCTCAACAGCAGTCGCCGCAAGAACCTCAAGGACGCCACTACGCCCTGGGAGCAATCAAAGTTGCGAGGAGTGCTGGGTGCCATAAGCTGGCATGCCCAGCAAGTAGCACCACATTTGTCTGCCGAGGTCAGCCTGCTGTTGTCGGAAGTAACAAAGAGTACAGTTGATACTGTGGTACGTACGAACCAACTGCTCAGTCACGCCAAGGCCAAGAAGGACCATCAGCTAAGGATACACCGATTCGAAGAAGGCACCGAGCTGGGAGCCTACGCATGGGTAGATGCCGGGAGCCAAAACCGCCCTGACGGCGGAAGCACCCAAGGAGTGCTCATCGGCTTAGCGCCGACAAGCCTGCTTCAAGGTGAGGTTTGTCCTGTGAGTGTCATGGCCTGGCACTCAAACAAGATAGACCGGGCTTGTAGAAGCCCGGGAGCGGCCGAGACTCAGGCCGCCATCAACGGAGAGGACCTACTTTACTATCTGCGATATCAGCTTGGAGAGTTGTTACATGGCGTAGCAGATGCTAAGGATCCAGATGCTACTGTGCGACTGATTCCGGGTTGCGTGATATCAGACTCACGCAATGTCTTCGACAAGCTGCAGACAGAAGTGGTCTCGATAAAAGGGGCAGAACGTAAGTCAAACATCGAGTTGCTGAGTTTGAAGGAGGCCCAGGTCCAGGTCCGATGGGTCCATTCTGAGGCCCAGCTGGCCAACACATTGACCAAGGCCAGTGGTGGCAAGGAGCTCGAGCTCTTTTACCGTATGAAATGTCGCTGGCGCATTGTGGAGGACGATCAAATGCGCTCGGCACGACGACGTAAGACCGACGGTTTAGAGCCGTTGCAACAAGGGGATCCTGATGACTCCACTGTCGATTGTCTGGTGATGTGTGAATGAAATTATCAAACTCCAGGATTTCCAGGAGTGGGAGCCATGCAAGCTTTTGTGTGTCAGCTTGGCTGCTCTGTCGTGCAAGACATGTCATCGCAGCTATGAGAGGATCGAGTAATGCGAAGAGGGGAAAACCGAGCCATACCGTTCTGCTTGGGCCGAACTGAGTAAGCTGGGACCTCGCATTCGAGCATCTCTCTCTGCCAGGGCCTTTCCGATCGTGCAAGCACCGCTTGCAAACCCTAAACCCTAAAACCCTAAACCGTAAACCGTGGCACATGCCAAAAGATGATCAGGTCCTCGAACCTGGTAGCTTCAAAGTTTTTGGGCATTGAGGGCTCAGGCTTTGTGTACCTGGAGCCTCATGTCATATGCGCAACTTTTCCATAGTACTATAGGGTAGAAAAAGCAAAAAAGTTTCGTGAGCATGCAGAAGGCTTGCAGTGCGAGCCATCCACGTGCCACTACTTCAGGCTTGGATGCAGAGGTCCTCGGTTGCGATCCCTAAACCCTTAACCCTAAATCCGAATCCAACGCCGGTTGAAACACGAAGTGCAGCGACGTAAGCGGAGAGTTGAAGAGGGTGCCCTGCATTGAAGCATCGGACCGGAGAAAGCTATGCATTCACAACTACATACTACCCTAGCATAGTAGGGCCAGGACCAAATTTCGTCAAACCCGAACTCCTAAATGCTGAAACCCAGCTGATTCCGAGACTCTAAGACCCGGAAGCCGTCAATAATACCCTTCCGGTACCTTCGTAGCAGCTTATGCCGACCCTCAATGCCAAAGCCACCTAAACTAAACCCAATCCACCACTCGGCTGCGAGAATATACAGTTTCGGGCTAATGCTATGAAGATGCCTGGTACAAACAGGTCTGGCAATCCTCCTGTCCGTCTTCCTCTTCTTCACCTTCGTCATCCTAGCAGCGCAAGCGCAACTGAAGTGGCTATTGCAAAGTCATGCATGGCACTTCGGCCTCCAAACACAACTACAGTACGACAGGGTGGTAATGCGGCAGCATTGTTCAACGGAACCACGAAGAGACGATTCTTAACTTATTCGCACTCCTACACTGTTTTGAATTTGACAACTCCACACCCACCACGCAAAAGGCACAATTTCAGACACTTCCCGCAGTTTGGCTGTTCCAGTACATAGGGCCCCCAAAAAACACAACATTAGGATAGGGATATCCCCTTTTATGAAGCTTAATAAGGTGGGGATGTCCCTACACAAATGCTTACGCTTATCTTTTTTGGGGGTACCCCCAGTACATGTGGGATGGAGGCATGAGCCCGAAGAGTTAATGGTCTACATTTTAGGGGTTTGGGGGGTTTTCGGGGGTTTAGGGTCTAGGGGGTTTAGGGTTTAGGGGGTTTAGGGTTTACATGTCTGTAGACACATAATGCAGCCTTGCCGAAACATGTTGTCATACACCCGTGAGTGCGCTCAAGCTTCCATCAGATACGACACCCAACCTGTCCCAATCCTAAACTCTACTTCGGCCCCTTTTCTTTACGGAAACCCATGCATTTTGTTAGTGTCATGATCCGAGGAGCCTGTTATGAAAAAGACGTAAAGATGAAACAAACAGGACCTGCTAAACTGCTGTGAATTTCCAGCTGGCAGCGACCTCATCCGCTTCATCCGGCTCTTCTTCTTCATCCTTCATGGCTGCGATTTTGGGGGCTGAGGTACTGAGGCCGTGTTTGTTTTTCGGAAGGGCCATTGGCCTTTTTCGGAGAGAGTTTAGGGTTTGGGAGATGGCCCCGCTAGCATCCATGTCTCTTCACCGCACCGTGCATTCGTCCGCAGGCCGCCGGAAATGCTCGTCTGGTTCCCACGTGACTACAGTCCTGTGCATCGCAAGCAAGGACTCCGAAAGGAAGCGATCAGTCGACTCCCGGGCAATCCGAAAAAACTCTCTCAAATGCACAGTACCACTGCAGTCACCGATCGCTCTAAGAAAGGAGTGGGCGTAAGCTCAAACTGAGCTGGCTTGCTGGAATATACAAGAATCAAGTTTTTTTGGCATCGCTTATAGGGTGTGCTAATTGGATTACGTAAATCGGCCCCGATGTCCGGACGCCTCGTCTGCTTCGTCCTCTTCGGGCTCCTCTAGGAGGAAAAGTCGGACACGCAAGGGAAGGGTACATGGAAAGTCTCCCTAGGGAGCCGTCCTGTCTGTGATCCCATGACCCTTATAATAGTTAATGACTCGGAAACCCTATACCCCGACTCGCTGAAGAGGGAGCGGGCTGAAGAGGTAGCAGAACGTTGGGGTACAGTACTGTAAGGGCCTTAATAATTAGAACAGCCTTTTGGGGGGGTGGGTTCCCTATTATGATTACAATATATAGTATAACATACCCCCAAACCCTATTTTAAATAATATATTAAGGCCCCTACATTAGACTATCATGAGAAGGGGGCCCCGAAGGATAGGGAGCCCGAAGGATACATGAAGTAACGAGGGGCACACGTCATGCCCTGTACAACTTCCCACAGCTCCAGACTTCCGCGTAGGCTGAAATCACACTAAGTTCAGGAACAACTCTGGCCCCATATGCTCCATAGTAGTTCCTATTTGGGGTTGCCCTATAGGCTTCTAAATATGAACCCGGAAAAGGAATCAATTACTATGGAGCCTATGGGTAGCCCATATGCTCAGCGTCCTCGACCTTCGGTGGAGTCTTGCTCTTCTTCACCTGGCATGTCGGATCTCAATGCAGGGAAGGCCTGCGACCGTCAGTGACAGAACACAGCTGCTTCGCAATTGCTGAACTTGTGTTGAACAGTTGTGGCCACCGGTGGCGGTTCAGGCTCATCTTCCTCTTCTTCCTCCTCCTGCATGCAGGGCACTGTGGCATGCGATGCAGGGGTCCTTTCTTGACATTCCAAGGCACAACAGTGTGTGGTGCCCTCTGAAAAAGCCAGTAGTTGAACTGTCGCTGTTGCCTTGCGCGATAAGTGTTGAGGGCGCTGGCGGCCAGTTGCTTTATTGGTGATGTTGGTGTTGATGGTACTGGCGACGTTCATGACATTGGCAATGAACTCGACAATGCAAGTGAACCTACGACGAGCAATGCAGATTCTGATTACGATGATGGTGATGGTGATGCCGATGGAGATGACTATAGTACGTATCTTTACTACGTGTACCTCTCCGTACCGAATGCAGCTTCGGATTGAACAAATGCGCGTGGACATGAGTATGAACATATACTTATATGCAAATATAAATATATATATATATATATATATATATATATATATATATATATACATATATGCATATGTATATGTATGTGGATAGGTATGTATACATGTACAGGTACATGAGCACATACAAGCATGCAAAAGCGGGCCTACACACATGTAGAGAGCTTCATGTCGTATCTAACGCATGCCTGCATGTATGTGTGTGTGTATATATATATATATATATATATATTGTATGTACACACACATATGTATATGTTAATACATATATATATATATGTATATGCGTATGTATATGCTTATGAAGATTATGACACACAACGACGGCGGCGATGTGCAATCTCCTCATCATCCTCTGGCTCCTGAGAGGGAGCTGTTGCAGGGGTAGCTTGGGCCTCGGGCTTAGGTCATATAACCCTAATCCCTAAACCCTAAACCTTAAACCCTAAACCTACAACCCTCACCCCTAACGCCCTAAACCCGAAGCCCCTAAACTCTACACCCTAACCCCTAAGCCTTAAGGGGCCTTAGCAATCAGAGAAGGGTTTTCGGGGATATTATGCTTTGATTATAATATGGAACCCCAAAAACCTACTCTAGTTCTTGTTTTTTTAAATCCCCTACAGTATATAGGGCTCCGGTTCAGGTCTTGAATTTAGGTTTTGGGTCTAGGGTTTGGGGTTTGAGCTTAGCGTTTGGAGTTTGTGGCTTGTAGGGTTTCGGGTTAACGTCTTATAGGCTCTCTAGCTTCGATTTGGAGGTTTGGGGTTCAGTTTTGAGCTTGGGGCGATTTTGGAAGAAGAGGTAGAGAGGCCCACCCAGGATCTGCGAATGCTTTAAAGTAAAAGCCAGAAAGTTGGAATATGATTATCCTAAACCCTTTATGGTAAATTATAGGGTATCCTACCCTGAAACCATATTCCAACTTTCTGGAGTTCCCTTTAATACTTCCGCCGAAAATAAAACCGCACAAACAAACGGCCTAATGCGTTTAACACGCGTTGAAATTATTACAGGGCTGTATGAATCGAAATGTCAGAAAGATTCGCCGGTGCTCGGAGGCACGTTCGGGCAAATCTGCTTGAGCTGGAGTTGTAGGGAATTCACACCCCCAAATCTCCTGAAGCTGGAATCCCCAAGTCCGCCAACCCCCAACTAAACCCCTAATCCCCCACCCTGAACTCTTCATTATAATTGGACTAGGGTTTTGAGGCCCACTATACTATATTTATAATAAGGAGCCCCCAAAATAGTAAAGGTAATGTTTTAGGCCCTATAGTAAACCCTACTATAGACCCCTTAAAGAACCCTTAAGGGAACCCTAAGGCACTCTGAACCCTAAACAGTAGCGGCCCCTAAGTAAACCTGTCTCTAGCTGCAAGTCGCAGGAGTCCTCTGAACCCCTGATCCTCCACCCTTAACTCTCTAGACCGAAGAGTAACCTAGGAATAAAAAGGGTGCCCTTTTTGGGTTAAAGGCGCTTATAAGGGAACCTCAACCTCAAAAAAGGGAATAAGGGCCTTATTCTAGGTCCTAGCTCTCTATATAAGCCCTAAACCCTAAACCTAAAATCTAGACGCAAGTCTCAAGAGTCCTCGACCTTCGGCGGCGGCTTCTTATTCTTTTTCGCCTTCCCGGGCTTCCAGAATCAGCGGTTTAGGGTATAGGAGGCTTCGGGCTAGGGATTTGCTCTTCTTGTATTGCAGGGTCCGGGCGTCTGGGTAGGGCTTAGGGTCTATATTGCGGTTCGGGCGGGTGAGGGTATTTGGGATGTGGGGGTTGCGAGATAGACTTAGGAGCAAGGGTTTGGGGTTTTGGTGTGGTATCTTGCTCGACTTCTCTTGAACATACAGGAAGTTTTGGGCTGTAGTGTGCTCTAGCCTGGCAGAGGCTGCCCAGTGATAGTGTTTATTGTCGTGGTACAGACTTGCGGGGCTCTAAGCCCAAGAAGGCCTTTGAAGCGACAGCGGCCGCCTCCACAGCCGCCTGCGCAACACGGCTCCCCAAACGAAGCGTGTCGGGTTTACCTTGGGTTTTAGGCTTAGGGTTTTGGGTTTAGGGTTATTGGGTTTACGGCTTAGGGTTTTGAGTTTTGGTTTATCCGGCTTTGGGGGCCTTGCGGCTTCTGAGAGTAAGCTCTGAACCGTAAACCCGACAAGTTATTGTCGGGTTTTATGAAGCTGCCAAGGTCTTACCGTAAATCTAACCTAGCCATCGGATCTTGCGATTTAGGAGAGATTCTCAGGGGAGGGTATAGGGGCTGAAAGCCTAAATGCTTGACTGTACTCGACCTGGCTCTCTTCAACCCAGAAACCTACTTAAACTCATCTAAACCGTTAGCCCTCAACACTAAGTCCTTCTCCCCAACACTAAATCCTATTTTTTGCAGTGCCAAACCCCATCTTGGAAACAAATCACACTAAGCGTCAGAAGCATCAAGCACAACAAACTTCTCATATGCAGGCTCATAACATGCAAGCTTTCATATAATCCTAAACCCTAAACTCTAAACCCTACACCCCTAAACCCTGCAGAGATCCCTGGTTTTAGAGTCTAGGATTTTGTGGTAAGGACGGCAGATCATCGAGTCTGCTAACAAGCTCAAATGCCACACCTTAAAGCCTGAAATTCCTAAACCCTAAATCACAGACCCCACCAAAGCAAGTCCTCCTATGCTCACCGACATTTCTTGCGAAGACGCCTATCACGAAGTTTGGGATTAGGGTTTAGAAGTAGCAATATACTGCAAAGTAGTGCAAAGCAATATGTTCGGAATTGCATCCGTCGCTTTGTAGTGTCCTCTATATAGGTACTATGGACCCTGTGGGTGCTTGCCAGGGAATTCCCCAAGGATTCAGCATGTTGGAAGCGGACGATGGATGCCGAATGAGATCTGCTGGTTCTAAGTAGTGCGAAGGTGTGATGTGGAAGTGTTTCGGAAAATATACATCATTGGACAGGGTGTACGAGTAATTAGGGTCTAGTACAGGGTTCAGGGCACAGGAGGAGTGAGATTCAAAGGCTCACACGCACACACAACAAGAAAGAGGACGAGACACCCGAAACCCCAAAACCCACCCGCACAATGGCAAAGGCACTGTGCTAGTTGCTTTAATATGGGGCTTGAGATTCACAGAGGGGCCTTGACTATTTCAAGAGGCTTTATTACATATCATAACTATTCGGAGCAGCTCTGAAAGATTAGATTACGAATTGTTCAAGCGACGGAATTACAAGCTGCAGCTTATACAATTTAACAATTTAACGGCTGAGGCCTTCCGTCGTCCTATTGTTGCTACAAAGCCTGAAGCTAGCTCAATGGAGAGCTAATGCAGAAGCATGTATTACCAAGTATCTGGAACCGGGCTGGGGCCTGTGTTGTACTACCAACAAGGAATATGAGGGAATACGATCGACTACTGCGCTGCACAGCCCCTATGTAGACACCCGTTTGCCTTGGCTGCGCCAGCGGCGGCGCCTTTCTTCTTCTTGAAACCCTTCTTGACCTTGGCAAGGATCGGTTGAGGATCTAAGACTTACGGCTTAGGGATATTGAAGCTTCTTGATCTTCGCAAAAACCTGAACTAAACTTGAACCCTCTGAAGCAAAGACCTACACGCCTTTGCCCGTAAACTTTAACTCGCTGATGCGCTAAACCCTGAAGCCTAAACCCTAAATCCAAAAACACAGTACCTCGTGAGATGAATGGTCAATCTTTCCGTGTCACAAATTAACCTGGAGCTTCGTCTGCCAGGTAAGCTGAGAAGAATATTCTCAAGAGTAATCTACTGGCCTTAATAGTACTTAGCATAGAGTTTTGTGGTCTCCTTATTGCTCTTGTTAGACTTACTATAGTATGAATATACGTCCAAGCCCTACTAATATTATTCAGGCCCCTACGTAATTCTAGATAAGAACACACCTTGACCAACCCTAAACCAACAAACCCGACCATGCCAAGAGCGCATGGTGGCTCTACTTCTTACTTCCCCAGTAACCCAAGGTAATAAAAGGTTAAACTTTTAGATTTCTACTAGTGTGAGTTTGAGCGTGTTTCCGGAACAAGCATTGCAAGCAAGCATTATAAAACCCAAAACGTTGAGAGGTTGGGTATTGGAGAACTAAGACTTGGGGAACTGGAGACAGTCATTCTTCCTTTGTTGTCGCCTCGTTAATGCCCTAAGGAGCCCACGTCCGCCAGGCACCCTTCATTCAAAGGGGAAAAGGAGGGACCCTTAATGGTGACCCCTACCCTATAATGGGCTATATAATGGGTATATAATAGCTATATTAAGGGTATATAGCTAGAAGTCCTTGTTAGGGGTCCCTCCTTTTCCCCTTTGATTCATATCTCTTAAAGGCGAGACAGCCCTAAGGGTCCATGTACCCTAAGGGACCATGTACCCACAAGTACATAGTACATACCTAGGCCTTGAAGTAGTTCCCATATCGGTACTTCAGGGCAAAAGAATATACTATGCTAGGTGTCGATTCCGACAGTCCCAAAAAAACAATCAAATTAGGGAATTTAAAAGCTATCCCATATCGATACATAGTGTGTGGGTACATGGACTCTTAGGGTAACACCCTGGAGGCTTCGAACTGGCTGCCCCAAAAGCTGTCAGTGCAGAGCGGTCACGTCTGAAAATCGCATCCTTGGGTTTGCCTCGACTAACCAAGGTACCTTGAAAAGAGAATATGACCAGTGAAAAACTGTACATGTGCCTTTTTGTAGGTGGCTACTCTGGGAAATTAGGCTTTAGGGCTTCGAGACTGAATGCGCGGGCTGAAAGTGATTCACAGCGGAACTTGCTTGAACATGGCTCGTTGCAACCCTAAACCCTAAACCCCTAAACCCCCAAACCCCTAAACCCTAAACCCTAAAGGGGCATGTGTCCAGCGAAGCCCCCGCCAAGCTACTCAACTCTCAACATCCGCGTTGATGCTACCCTAAGGCTCCATAGTAGTTCCTTTTTGGGGTTCATATATGGGGTCTTATAAGGGAATCCCCTAAAAGGAACTACTATGGGCAGGCACTGTTTAAGTTGAAGGCGAAAACCTTCAGCACTAAGCCACCAAGAAGCAAAACCCGAAACGAGAAGCCCAAAACCTAAACCCGCAGCACGCAACCCCAAGCCTTGAATTACGGAACCCTGTCAAGGCCCAGCCCAGGCTCTAGGAAAAAGGATTTGGAATATCCCCAATATATGCTATGCGGAAACTTGGACCCTTTGGGGCAGCTGGATTCTTGTTTGAAGGCATTTCGTGATGGGTCTGGGCGGCCACTGCCGGGGTTTTCGATACTTTTAAGACGCTTGGCTCCCTCCATAAGGGCTCTTCAAATCGAAATCGTCGAAACCCAACCAAGGACCCCTTCACCTATACCCCCCTTAGAACCATAACAAAAATACGGTGTTTAATATTCTCCTGGGCCTGGGTTTTATATGAACAAAAATAAAAACGATTCCTAAGGAGACTATATGGGGGTTTCCCCAAATAAGGTACCCTAATACAATACCCTAAATAGTAGGATCCTTATTGTAAGGACCCCAAAATAAGGTACCCCCAGTTTTCGGAAACTCCCATATATAGTTTACTCGTCTGACTGCAGAGTCTTCTGAGCATTCGGCCATGGCTCGCGATCAGCAAGACAGCAACTAGCCGGCTTACAGCTGTACCCCCCTTAGAACCATAACAAAAATACTATTTGCAATATTCTGCTGGTTTTATACGAACAAAAATTTCAAAGGAGACTATAGACAGTATACTTCGAGTAGCTAAAGTTGGTTTCGAAGAGTGTCACTGGTCACAGAATCGAAGTATGAGGAGAGATCGAGCCGAAATGTGTCCGACGTTCTTTACTCCAGCAACTTCAAAGCTTCTGAATAAATATGGCCCTACTTCCTACACCCGAAAGACTATAAACCCTCAACGCCTAAACCCACCCACCACTGAAGCTGAACGAACAGCGTCGCTTGAAGATGGAAGCCCCAGGCTGTAGCAAAGGCTGTCAACAAATATTGGCTTCTTTCGGGTTTAGGGTTTACCCAATGCCTCCAGGGACCTAATTGTGGGGTCCTTAAGGGGTCTAGGGCCCTAACTATGAGGTCCTTGGAGGGATAGGGTTTAAGGCTTAGGGCTTCGGGATGAGGGCTTATGATCTCTTCTGCCTAGCGCTCTGGGTACCTAAACCGGAAGCGACATAACATATGATAACCCAGCAACCCATTGTTTGGGGTAGCCGGAGCCCCCGGGTTCCTCTAATATGTAATCGTTACCACAAGCCCCTGGTTTACTTGTGAATGATCTGATGTATTACTGCCTACTTAGGGTTCATCGCTTGAAGCAGAAGAATTGTCGCACTGCTTTCTTTCTTGCTTTCGCTTTGTCCGATTCTGGAGGCCGCTTTGTCCTGCCAGGCGACACGCCAAATCACTCATATAGTAATTACACACTTTGGCCCTTACCTACCTACAGGTCTATATGATGTGGCCACATGGTCTCTTCAGGATAACCAGACTCAGCGAGTGAAACACCGACGCGTGACATTGGGACTCAGTTTTCTCAAGCCCACAGCACCCCTCTACCAGCGTGGCCTTAGCGCAATACTGCCATATCTCGATGGGGCTTTCGCCATAATCAGAAGCAGCGTCAGGCAATGCAGCAGCGCAAGCAGTGACATAACAGCACCGTGATCGTGGCCATCATCGTCGTCATGGCGATAGACTGACTCTCCAATGTAAGGAACTTAATGTTTAGAACACAGTCGTGGGCTCCTTTATAGTATAGATATTACAAGGGGCCCTAATGAATAGTGTAGGTAATTATCTAGCCTTCTGTATTGGCTCCACGCATCGTTCAGTCCTCTCGCCCAGCTTCCCCCTCGCCAGGTAGCTTGAAAGACTGCTCCCCGGTGACCTGAAACAGTAAGCAGGTCTTCGAACTCCAAGTAGTAAGTACAAGCGCCATCGGGGTAAGGGAGTCGAACATACCCATGCACCTGGACCTGCCGGTGACGTTGAACCATCACACATGATGCCAGTCACCACCACGATGAAAGACAATCTTCTTTCCTTTTTTGCTTCATCAACTCGGTCGTGCAGCAGCAGCAGCAGCGGCAGCAGCAGCCGCGATAGCATGGGAGTTCAAAGCCTACAGGCCCTTTCATAGTCTGACGCCTGGACCGTCCACCCAATTGTTTGAGCGTGCTGGAATTGGGGTGGGAAACTGCGTTTCAGGCCAGCAGCTTGTCTTCCGTTGTTTGTTGGAGTATCAGTCTAGCTAGGGGGTAGGGTCTGTTCTTTAATTCGTCTTACGTAAGTCTGAAGTGTCCAAATCGTTGCTTCTCAGGGCAGCCCACAACTACGGTTGATGATGTAAATCCGGCATTACCCATAACACGGAATTTACCAGAATTCCCATAGTTTAGGGCCCTTAAGGTAATGCAGGATTTATATTATCAGCCGTATTCACAAGCAGAAAGGCTTCAGGGCTTGTGATCATTTCTAGTTCATGGTCGGGACAATCTTAAACGATCAAGGTTGTAATTCCTTATTGGGTTTGAGTGCCCACCGGAATGCAACATGTTACCCAACTATGACAAAGTTACTCTGACTCACGCTGACCGCGGGTTTTGGGGCTTCGGGCTACGACTCGTTCTACTCGGGGGAGTCATGGGGAGTCTGTCCGTTAAGCTTCGAGCATTCGCTTTGGTATTTGGTTTGTCAAACAGCTAATGGCAGACTGAGGCTGAAGACTCACCGTGAGCAACAAATTTCATTCGGCTTTGAGGTTAAGCTTTGTTGGCTGTGCTGAAATGTGGGTTTGTAAAATCCAAGAATTACGACAGGCATCATGCTTTCGATGCAAAAGTCGAAGGTCGTGCGACGCCTTCGTGTTCCCACATGTCGCACTGAGGTTTGTGGTGCAACAGTTCCTGAGGCCACCTGGGCCCTCCACTGCAAGTCTTGAAGCCCGAGCCCCGAAATCATAGAGTTAAAGCCACCATCTTGACCCGGAAACACTAACTGAGAACCACGAATGGCAGGATGTCGTCCATACCCCCCTCAATGTCGTGGGGGATGTGGCTCAGGGTGTGTGTGTGTGTGTGTGTGTTTTTGTTTTAAGTGGTGTTCGGTGTCTGCACTGCAGCCTAACTATCTTCGCGGGCATCTCCGCCATGCAGTGGCATGTAGCTTACGTTGTTCAGTGACACCCGGAAGCGGCGATATTCAAATCCCAGCTATGTCTGAGCCAGCAGCAACGTTGACATAGTAGAAGACTCCCGGCCTCGCCCAAACCAACTGACTAAGCCCTCAATCGGGAACCCTACAGACCCTAGACCCGAAAACGTATGAAGGTCCGAACATTCAGTCTAACCCTTCGCAGCTACTATGATGTTCCGCCTTGGTGGCTCTACTATGTCTACGGCTACTTCGAAAAGGCTTGCAAGTGCTATCACTGTTGAACTCACCGCAACATGGTGGCACAAGAAGAAACTAGACTGGCACTTCGGGGGGTTTACATCAAGTCGATACGGGAACCTGAGGTACACGTTGGGTAACCACCGAGGCATCTGTAATAGCATGGAATAATCATGCATAAATTCATCATCAGCATTTGGGTTTCAAGGGATAGAAGATGTCATCCTGTTATGGACATCTCTATTCCGGGGGTTTAGGGTTCTACTGTTTCGGAGTCTATCAGGCGTATAGGGTTTAGGTGTCAGGAGTCAGTTTGACCAGGATGTACGGAGTTTAGGATTCAACTTAAGGTCCTACAACGTCCTGGAACCGGGACCGGAGACACATCGTCTTGTATCCGTCCAAAACCTCTACGGGCTCGCAAAGAAGGGGCAAGACCTACGCAATGCCAGATCGAAACGCTCACAGTAAGATGCCAAGCCGGGAAAAAGAGCACCTGCCAATTCAGCTGCATACGCGAGAACGACTCCAGGATATGTAGCCCCTCCAGAGTCCTCTAAACTGCCGAGTGCGCCGCTGACCATTTGCATGGGCGCTCGAGGCTCCGACCGAGGCCCCCGGCCGAGAGTCTCGACAACACGGTGAGGGAGGGTAAAGCCTCCCAAATGACTCGGCTTCGCCTCACACAATACGGATGTCAGTCCCTCTGCCCTGCCCTGCCCTGCCCTGTCTGCCTGCCTTGCCCGCCCTGCCCTCTGTGGCCTTGCTTGGCCCTCTTGCCCCACCTTGTTCACACTTCGAGCAGCCCTTACAGGGCGCGAGAACCAAGTTGTTTGTTGGAAACCCTTGCTTTTCGTCGAGCGGCCGGCACAGGCCGCGAGGACCCACAACCCGACAGCAATCCATTTCAGCTGTGATTCTGGAGAAAAAATGTTGTTTATATGTCGAGCTGCGAAAGGAAGCAGAGAGCAAGGAAGCCCCCCTTGAGGGGGGTTTGGGGGGTGAACCTAAACCCTAATTGAGAATAGTTGGGGTGGTTGGGGCGGGACTACATGCTGACGCGAGCGCGCGATTAGCGGGCGCGCCCCTTATTCCTAAAGTAAAAGGCGCACCCACCGCGCGCATACTGTTACACACCCTTAACCCTAAACCTTAAACCCTAAACCGTGTCCGAGCGGGCATGGGCCTGAGCTTGTGCTGGGCTGGTCGGGCTGAGCTTTTGGGCTCTGCACTGGGCTGGGCTGGCCTGGCGGGCTGGTAGCTATGTGAAGGTAACCTTTACAAGGGTTCTAAGGACTTATATAAAGGAATCATAATAGGGAACCCTAGAAAGAAAGGTTCTATAGGATTCAGGTATGTCATACTGTTGATGATACAAATCCTGCATGACCTGACTCAAGGACCCTAAATTATGGGAACTATGGCACATTCCTTATTATAGGTAATGCAGGATCTATATCATCAATCGTAGTTAAGCCGTAATCCCTAAGAAAAATGGAAAAGAGCCAACAAAAGACCGGTTTCATCGGAGCCCCTGCCTGCTGCGACTCGCCTTTCGGGCCCAGCCGTCAGGAAGCTCCTTCAGAATTTGAGACGTCAGGGTTTAAGGTTTAGGGTTTCGGGATTGGGTTTAAGGTTTAAGACGAAAAAGACGAAAGTTGCGCGTTCGGGTCCAGGGATATATTTTTTAGGCTTGTTTTCCTGGGCCTTAAGCTCTAGGGTTTGGGGCTTATGCCAGCAACGAGCCTCGACAGGCTTCACATCACAGAGTCATGCCCACATGGTCTAACGAATGGGAGCCATCACGCTCGGAGAAAAGAGCAGACGACACCTCAGACACGTCGTCTTGATTCTGCGGAAATGCGATTTGCACAAAGGTGATTGAGCGAAATCTGGGTTCCTCACAACGACGAGGCAACACGGCCGCTACTGTACTCTCGGATCGATTGTTCTTCCCGACAGGCTGCCACACCAAAATTTAGGAGAAGCACAGTTATTCGAAAAGCAACTTTCCAGTCCGGGATAGTCTTGCAGTGAACTTGAAATATACCCCCCAAACTGGCCAGTTGGCAATTAGGAATATATTCTATGTACCCTCAATCAATAACACCTGGTGTCTGCTTGTATTATAAGTCGTTTGAGCCCTGACCTCGACCCTAAAGAACCCACCTTTTCAGGGTTACCTATTATGATTCCTTTATATACGTCCTTAAAAAGGTTCTTTAGGGTCTAGGTAATCTAGCGGCTCGGGGTCTGTGGTAAGAGCTTGTCTTTTTTTAGCAACTTGCGGGTACTAGCAGCAAGGTTTCATGGCGGCTTTATTGCTACAAGGGGTGCCGAGGGTTCGTAGCACACTGTCGGTTTCGATAAAGATGGGCAGGAGTTGATGCGCGGGGCCGTCCGCAGTGTTTTTTTGTGCGTTGTTTAGGCGGAATATTGTGATACAGGCTTTAATACCTAGTGCCCAACAATCGGTTCCAACTTTGTCAGACATCCAAAACACTGCATTATAGGGTTGGGTGTGACAGGGCGGGTCAGCTTCAGGCACTGAGATTCGGGACACCTGCAAATACCGGGCGGCAAACGACTCTGCTGGAAAGCTTAGGTAGGGGGAGGGGTGTCCTTTCGAAACTGCCTACAAAACCCTGGAGGAAACGAGTAGACTCCTAAGCCCCAAACCCTGAAACCAGGAACCCATTCACTTTTGCCCTTGCGTCAGTCGGCTTTCTGCTTCCTCCGGGCCCTACTAAGCACCTCGCAGTGGCTTGAGAACCTAGAGAGCCCAATACCCCTTAATTAAGGGTGATACCTTAAACTGCAAGAGGGTTCATACTATGATTTGAGCTACATGCCTTAATTAAGGGGTATTGGGCTCTCTGGGAAGTAGGTGGGCTACAGGGGTTCTTGTGCTATTAGGGATGTGATTTCAGGATTGCGTAAGGGTGTTGGGCTTCCTGCTCAAGGTTTCGGCTTGTGGACGTTAGGGTATGGGCTTTACAGGGGTTCAATGGTGAGTTTTTGTTGGTTTCGGAAGGAGCGGCTACTATGGAGCCTATGGGTAGAACATATACAAAGCTGAAGCTTGAGAATGGTGGACCTATGGGGTCGTCGGAGCCTCGTAGATGCTACAGGAACGGCTCTTCACGGGTATGCTGGGCTTGGACTGCCAGATATTGTTTCACTGTTCTGGTTCTCAAGCAAAATACCTAATATAGGGGCCTTAATAATTAGAATAGGGTTTTGGGGGCCATGATACTATAATTATAATGAGGAATCCCCAAAATAGTATAGGCCACTATTCAGGCCCCTATACTAAACAGACCCTAGGATACCCAGTAACCTAAGAATAAAAAAAGGCCTCTCTTTTTGGTATTGGGTAACTTTATAAGGAACCTAGGACTACAAAAAGGGAATAAGGGTACTACTGGGCATCCTAGGCCCTAATTTTCGGAAACCCTAAACCCTTTATAGAACCCTTATAGACCCCTTTAAGGAACCCTTATAGATCCCTTTAAAATGGAATAAGGGTACCACTGGGCATCCTAGGACCTGTGTACACTGAACCCGAGGCCTTAGAGTTACCCAGCTACGCAAATAATGGGCTACTGGGTTCACATTATACGAGTCGGGCTTTAGGGTTTTAGGGTTTAGGGTTTAGGGTTTAGGGTTTTAGGGATTTAGGGTTTAGGGTTTAGGGTTTAGGGATTAGGGATTTAGGGTTTAGGGATTTAGGGTTTAGGGTTTAGGGTTTAGGGTTTAGGGAGTTAGGGTTTAGGGTTTAGGAAGTAACTGTGCTTATACATGTTTATAACGCTGATTCAGGTACTTATATCCCTACTTGCTGAATTCCTCTGAATGCTACACCTGAATCTACAGTCCCATAGTAACCGACCCTACGGGTCCATGTACCCAAATAGTATTATACTGTAGCCCCAAAGGACCTATATAGGGACTACCTCAAGGCCAATGTATATACTATTTGGGTACATGGACCCTTAGGGATTATACATATGGTTAGTAGCCTACTATTCTAAAACCGGAGCCCTAAGGAAGCAATGCCGCCGAAGAGGCCGCCACCAGAAGAAGGCCAACCGCGAGGGCACCGAGCCAGGACACGGCCCTGCACAGCGGAAAGCCCCAAGCACTGGGTTCCGAAGCGTTGGAACTTGTGGCTTACCTATAGTCTCTATTCTAAAAGGTAACCCCAAAAAGAACTACAATGGAGAGTATAGGTAGGGGTTTAGGGTTTAAGGCAACTCTCAATCGTTCGGCTACCTCGACTAAAGCCCCGAACCCGACAAGTTGGGGGTTTGGATCACCATCCGTGAGCTGCGTGGTGGGCCCGAGGATATCGAGCTTGGGCTTCCTCGGGGACGTCTCAGGGCTACCATAAGGGTTTTGTAGGGTTACTATAAGGGTAAGGTGGGGTATCAAGGGGATTCTTACAGGGGGCTGTAAATGGGTTCTTGCAGTTTCCTATCTCTTTCCGGACCTGAGCTTAGAGCTTCTTCAGGATCATGTGGGCACTAAGCTGGGGCCGCGGAGAGCGACCAACAGAGTGAGCACCAAAAAGCAGAAGCTAAAACCCGAAATCCTGAACATTATTTTTTCAAAAAACCTCATAGCAGAAACTTCAACCCGAAACCCTGAAAATCTAGAACCCCAAAGGCCTGAACCCAAAACTTGAAGCCCTTTGAGCCTGCGCCCTCCTTCGAAAAGTCGACGTCATGAATCCAGAGACTCCAATATCCCTGAATTAAGGAATACATACATATGTATATATATATATATACACACACACATATACGCCTGAAATCATATAGGGGATCTTACTGCAATTTAAGGCATATTTCCTTAATTAAAGGACATTGGAGTCTCTGAGAACCTCGAAATCCCATATCCTAGGGGGGTTAGCCTCGCCACTCCTGAGCCCAGATCCCAAGCGCAGATTTCAGGAATTGGGGTCTTTCAGCTTTGGTGGGTTTTGGGGTTTGGGGTTTAGGGTTGAACTCCCGATGTCTTGAGGGTCCTGAACCTTCAAAATGGGGCTTCCCGGGTTGGTACAACACAGCAGAACTAGGTGGGGACTGCCCGGGGATATTTAAGAATCAAAATCACATCCAAAACCTCCCAGGTTTGCACTCCCATACATACACTCCAGCAATACCAACAAGGGCTTGTGGCTCTAGCTGCGTCCTGCACTGCTCCCTGAACCCGTGACGCTGATCCCTAAACTGTGAGGCCTAAACCCTCAACTTACATTGCGAGTCCAGGCTTCCGACAGGCAACATACGGTTGATGATATCAATCATGCATTACCCCAAATAAAGAATACACCATGATTCCCATAGTTTAGGGTCCTTAAGGTAATGCAGGGTTTATATCACCAACAGTAGCCTTAAGCCTTTTCGATGTCTTGCGCTGTCTCTGCGGCCTTCGGACGAACCAGAAGAGGATCAGCAAGGCCTGCTTTGAGCTTGGAAACACCCAAAATACACTCGAGAACATATGGATCCATCTATCTACCTCTCTCTCTCTCTCTCTCTCTCCCTCTCTTTCTCTCTGTTTCTCTCTGTGCATACAGGAAGATACAAACATCATATATCCAGCCAGCCAGCCAGCCAGCCAGCCAGCCATCCATTCACGCATGCGCAAGCCGAAAGACAGAAGGACGGACAGACCGACAAACAGACATACAGTACCTGCTTCAGTTCGGGGTGACGCATGGAGCCATGTGCTTGTATCTAAAGGCATGCTTTCCAAATGTCTTTGATAAAGAGCCTAGATTCTAGATAGCATGACGACTTGGAGGGGGCAGTCTGTTATTGAGACAACGACAACTGCTTCACTTAAATCCTAAGTCCAGAGTTAAGCACACATTTTCCAAATAGTCCTGCATGCCCAACAACACCACACAGTAGCAAAGATTGTTTCACCCCCTGCAACGATGTGAAAGCGTAGCTCACATTGAATGACTACAGCAATACCGTTGTACAAGACTTACGCCATCCGCAACGGAGAGGCTTAAGTATTGCAAATCGCAAGGTTTGTTTTTGAACTTTGCAAGTTTAGGATGCCCAGCTTGTTGCGGTTGTGGATGCTTTGTTGATCGGAGCTCGGGGCTCAGCAAACCACGAATGCAGCTTGCTCCCTCTGCTAAAACTACGTTTCTGACACTGACAACTTCAATACACGTCAACCGTGACCTTCTAACTTTTTTACACTCAATCCCGGCTGGAGCTGGCATCCGTGCAGCTGAGCACCCAAGACTGACATTCCGCAGGTGTCACAGTGCCTTGTCGTCGGTAGGCCCAAACCGAGCTTCCAGTGCCGCCAGAAAGCGCGCTGCCTCTGTGCTGTTGTTGGACAAGTGGTAAATGACTGGCTGGGAAAAACTGTCATGAGAACGCACGACTAGCGTGGACTCTGTCCAGCGGATCACCCATTCGGATCTTCTCGGAAGCAACTACTATAGGGCCCTTAACAATTGTAACTAGAATAGGGTTTCGGGGTATGTTACACTACAATTGTAGTAAGGAGCCCCAAAATAGTATAGGTAAATATTAAGAACCTTATATTATGGATACCTACTATAGATCCCTTATAGACCGTTTTAAGGGTCCCTTCAAAGGAGCCTCTTTATTACGCTTTCCATGCCCGATCGTTAGGCCTTGTATGGTTGTGCGGATACGCAGAGTGCGCAGGACGCTGCTCCGGTTTAGTTATAGGGTCTAGGGTTTAACGGTTTAATTCCGAAAAGCACAAAACAAGAAGAGGCATCACTCGCTTGCAAAATATAGACCGTGAGACCAGAAACCCCGCAAGGGGTGATGCGTCTCCAAAAGCCCCGAAACTCAGAAAGGATGTTTCCCTGTTCCGAAAAACGAAAAATCTCCCGGAGCTGACTGGATGCGGAAAACTCTGAAACCCTGAGTCGTCCCAAACCCAAAATTTAACAACGGCTGAAAGGCTAGACCTACGAGTAACCTAGGAATAAAAAGGGTGCCCTTTTTGGTTTAAAGGGGCTTATAAGGGAACCTCAACCTCAGAAAAGGGAATAAGGGCCTACTCTAGGTCCTAGAAGGAGACAAAGCGATTCCTTGCCAAACTTACTTCCCCAATAAGCCAAAGTAATAAAAGGTTAAACTTTCAGATTCTTACTAAAATACACAAGCCCAGAAAGTTCAAAGGTTGGGTATTGGAGAACTAAGCAAACCTGGAGAATACAGCTTTGGCTCAGGACCATGGCCTTTCCGGATCGATCGTGGGGTTCCCGAATCTAGGGGACCCTAATATACCAGGACCCCCCAATGGCCCCTTAATGGAGCCCGTATGATCCTAAATAGTGGGGATTTGGGGTATAGTAGAGGGTAGTTGGAGGGTCTAGGTAGTACCCTAAATAGTAGGATCCTTGCTATAAGGACACGAAAGTAAGTTAGCCCTAATATTGGGGAAACTCCCATCTTGATGAAATAAAGCAAGAGCTTAAGACCAGGCTAGAGTGTAAGCCGTGGAGTTTCGGGCTTAGGGCTCGAAGGGTCTAAACCATTCAGCTGCCATAGCCTACTTTTTTGTAGGCTCTTGCTATGAACCCTAAATATGGAAGTTATAGTATAGGAAACCTACGGAAAGCAACTTGTTGGTAGGCTTAGGAAAAAAACCTTCCAGTAATACGGTTGCCTGAGACTGATTCGTTTCCGACAATAGGGGACCCTAACAGAGTACCCTAAATAGTAGGATCCTTACTATAAGGATACCAAAATAGGGTACCCCTAATTTGATTCGCGTGCGGCTCGATCCCTACGGCTCAGAGCATTCCTGCAGGGACCCTTAAGAAAGACCCCTAGGTATATACCCTTAATATAGCTAATATATACCCATTATATAACCCATTATAGGGTAGGGGTCCCCGCTATCAAACATGGGTGCTTTACAAAACTCATGTTTCTCGCACTCCTTTCCTTGATGCAAACATTCGTTTTGCAAAAAGCAACTCTTCACAGCATGAATGCTGTCATATGCCGTAAATCGAGCCAAGTCGGTGTGCCCGATTTGTAAGTGAACTTGCTCCTGATGCTGTGCCGTTACCCTGGTCCTTTTAGGCTCTCTCGGAATCTGTCCGCAGTTTTTGATCGAGAGCTCCTCGAGGGGTGCCCATATAGTTTCGGGTTCTAGTTTCGGATTGGCTGCCGGTGAGTTTCGGATCACTGGGGTGAGTTTCGGTCCCCAGTTTCGGGACGGGGGAGGGTCAGTTTCGGATACAATCAAACATAGAATAGAGAAGAGAGCAGACTATCGCATACGCCTTCTGCGGCCACCAGCGTGGAGGCGGAGGGAGGTTCAACAGCTGCGCCAGCCTCATCGGGGGGCAGTCAGAGTGTTTTCGGGTAATACGGCTGTATAGAGCTCCAAGACTTTGAATCAGCTTTACGAAGAACTTCATAGTCTGTATGGATGTGGTAAAGCTGTACAGGATTCAGTACGTCACTGTGCATCCCTTGCTCTGTGTTGCAAGTCGGGTTTCATGAATACGACTACTTCTCGCACTTCTCCTTCTCCTGATGCTACTAGTACTGCTAGACTGATACTCTTACAGCTACTGCTGCTACCTCTGCTGCTGCTGCGACGGCTACGGCTTCGGCTACGGACGCGGACAGGCCTGGCTACGGCTGGCGCTGCTCTACCGCTAGGGTGTAGGATTCGGGCCTCGGGTTTGGGATTTTGGGTCGCTGCAGGATTTTCGTGTCTTCGGTTCAGGCTTGAAGGTGTAAGGCTTCCGGTCTAGGGCTAGCTTCGGATTCAGGTTAGGGAGTTTCCGGAAAGAGGGGACCCCAATATAGTACCCTAACCAGTAGGATCCTCATAATAAGGACTCCAAAATAAGGTACCCCTAATTTTCGGAAGCAGAGCCCGCTCTTTCTTTCAAGACACGGGGAGTCCGCGGCATAGCCCTGGTAATAGAGCACGCAGTCCTCGGAAGATAGCGGCCATGAACACAGTGTAAGCCCAAGAGCCAGCCCACTTCCCACAATAGACAAACGTTGTCTCCTTCGGGTGGACAAGAGAAACATGCCAGAGTTCTATCCTTAAGGGTCCATGTACACATTGTAGCTCCTATATAGGCACTTAAGCGCCAAAGTATATACCTTCTGGGCACATGGAACTTAAACCCTAAACCCTAAATCCCTTTATAGAGCCCTTAAAGGAACTCTGAAAGGCACATGGACCCTTAGGCTTAGGTTGAGGGCTTACGACTTCATGTTCGGGGTTTGTTCAGGGTTTAGGGTATAGAGTTTAGGCAATTAACCATGGCACGGATTTTTAGGATTTAGAGTGGGGTCGATGGGGTTTTGCCGGTGACGCCTTTCAGATTCTATCCTGCGGTTTGGGGGGTACCGGCCGCATGGACTGTGTTTGGGAAAGACCGAAGACCCTTTGCGGTTTGGGGGTGCTCGGAATATGAATATATATATATATATATACACTAGCTATATGTGGCTGAGGGTTAATATGAAGCTTGATGTTTGTTCTTAAGAGGGACCCTACACTAACTTCCAAACGGCACACTCCAATATTCTAAAGAACCTGTAGAGAAACCCTACTTCTAGGAAGCGGCCTATTTCAAGCAAGTGTTTGATATCGCTTCGAACGGTACTGCGATCAGAATGTGGCCTTTGACAGCAGCCCGAAGATTTCCAGCGCAAAGCCCAAAATGGCAGTAATTGCAAAACTTCAATGTCAAATCTAGACCCGCGATAAACCAACCCTCTTGATTACGATCAGCAGGAACCCAACATCGACTAAGCAATCATGGGTCTACATATATCCATCGGAAACTTTACCGCCAAACCAAGCCGTGATTGAGGTGTGTAGGATCCTATTACAAGCCCTAAACCCTAATTTCGCACCTGAATACCGTGGCCAGTGGTTCGTCATGTACCTCAACCCATAATCCTGCACCGAATGAAGTCTGCAGCCCGCACTTCAAAGCCTGTCGTTCATGGCCTTAAACCGAATCACCCGATGCCTTGGGGGTTTTTGAGGGTTCGGGCCTTCAACATCTGAACCGGGAAAGCGGGACAGCGCATGTTCTAGAGCTCTGCATGCCTATCGCCTCGTTATGCGCGGGTGATCCAGGTGCTAAGTTCTACTTACGTAGAGTATGAATATATAACAAGTAATGAATGCCGCAATTCTAATTTACAAGACCTACTATCAAATATCACAGACACCATAACATACAATACACGATGTCGGTTCTTACTTGCTTTGGGGATTAGGCGTCGGGTCTGGGTCCAGCGACTGAGGTTCAGAAAATAAACATCTACTCTTAGGCTCCAGAGTGGTTCCTTTTTGGGATTCCCTTCTAGGATTCTAAATATGAACCCCCCAAAAAGGAACTACTATGGAACCTTAGGGTATAAGGATTCTAAATAGGAACCCCAAATAGGAACTACTATGGAGCCTTAGGGTATAGTTTGTAAGTGCAGGGTTTAGGGTTTCGCGCACGCTTGCAAACATAGGTTGCAGCTCGGTCACGAAGGCTACTCCTTGGATCAGTCGGGGCATCAGTAAGGCTCGTCAAAGCTTCGCACCATAAAGCGATGTTTGTCTAGGATACCCAGTAACCTAAGAATAAAAAGGCCTCTCTTTTTGGTATTGGGTAACTTTATAAGGAACCTAGGACTAGAAAAAGGGAATAAGGGTACTACTGGGCATCCTAGTCAAAGCTTCGCACCATAAAGCGATGTTTGTTGTAGGCTTCAAAACTCACAGCCAAAAGCTGCTGAGGTCCTTAAACCGAAAGCAGGTCAACCTTGCACTTATGATAGGGTTTGCCCTGAGCAGGTTAAAGCTTCCTGCCAAACTAGACCGTTATGGCTTCCAAGGTTGTCAAATGATTCATGATTAGTGTCCCCTCCTAGGCAAGGATTCGGTGTCTGCTCCACCTACTTCGAGCAGCCACGACCTCTACCAGGTCTTGCGACACACATTCAGCAAAGGGTGCGCACTATCTGCAGTTCTGGCTCGGTGAAGCCACTGTGCAAAGCAAGTTTGATGCATATTCTTAGCAACGGATCGTTTATCAGAAGCAAGCCTAGTTCGGGGTCTGGTGTCCCATCCAATCTAAGAAAGCCCAAACCCCCCATCCGCCTAAACCCTGAGCCTGAACCCAAACACCCTTAACTCCTCAACTCCACAGCCGTAAACCCACACCCCCTACATCCTCGAACCCTAAGCCCCTTTGTAGAACTCCTATACATCCAGTATACAGGTCCCCTTCTGGATCCCTTTAAAGGGAAACCCCCTAAACTCTGCGAAAACACCCAAACCAGTGCAACACTTCTTTGTCGCGCTGCGTTCGAGGCCGCGGAGCTTCACCTGAAAGGCTTCTGGCTTTGGCCTTTTGGGCATTTGAAGGAATCTTTAAGGGTTCCAATTGTTTGTGTTGTTTTTGGGCTTCTTGGGTTTAGGGTTCAGGGATGCAGTGAAACGCGCTAAACCCCCTTGTCGAATCGTCGTATGCTTTGTTTCCTGTGAAGAACGATAGGGTTGGGGGCTTAGGTTTCGACTTTGGTTGGGAGATCATGCAGTGGGTGTCTTTGGAGATTTGTATGTGTTGGTTGCTTGTTGGCTTGCAGCTCACGTTGCGGCACCCTGGTTCCTGATCATGCTTTCAACTTTGGCGGCTCGGGGCATTGAGCTATGTGAGATATTCGGGCCTTCAAAAGACTGCAGGAAACGGCAAAGTGTCAATAGACACGTGGCTAATATAGGGGTCTTAATAATTTGTTTCTGGTCTTGGGGCCCATTATACTATAACGTAAGAAGGAACCCCCAAAACAGTATTGGTAATGATCTAGGCCCCTATAGCACCCCACGATTCATTGAAGCCCAGAGGTCGGTGGACGCTGATTGGCGCTGGCTCGTTCATGCAACAATACACGAGGCATTCATCCACTACCACCATTGTCACTGTCGGCATCATCGTCATTACCATCAACATCATCAGCACCATTCTCATCACCATCAACAGCATCAACAACACATGATCACCAACATCAACAGCATAATCATGACCATCATCACAGCAGCAGCATCATCGTCGTCATCATGTAACGAACAGCATTAGCAGCATCGCTCTGATTGCGTGATTGCTTGACTGACAGTGTGATCCATTGCATCATTCCGGGTCCGGCAAGTGTCGGATGGTAATGCGACAATTCTCTTGCTGCTGCACTTGCAGCTGCAGACGGTGCTCGCTTCTTGAGGAGGACAGAGCATGGCCGAAACAGCTTGATTTGTGTCAAAGGCGCCCCACCCCAAACCCTTACACCCTAAAGTTTTGGAGTTTAAAACTCCAAAACGCATAACTCTAAACCCCCAAACCCTACTAAACCTGAACTACCCACCCTAAAACCCCTGCGCAAAAGGAGCCCTCTTCCCTCGTCAACCTCCCCCTCACTCCCCTCTGCATGCAATTCCAGTGACCAAAGGCCCGACACGAGGCGGTGGCGGCACCTCGCACGCAACTAATTGAGCGACACTCAAAGCATCCTTGAACGGATCCAAGCATTACTATAAAGCCTACGATAATGGCCTTAAGGTTACTATGCAGGTTCTATGAGGGTTACTATGTAAGGGTTGCTATAGGGGTTGGTTTATATGGGTTATTATATAAGGAATACTTTTCGGGTTCTATAATATCGAGGTCCCATGAGGGTTTAGGCCAGTTTAGGCTTAGGGGATTCGGTATTTAAAACCTCTGGAGGTTCGGTTTGGGCGGTGGGCAGTCAAAGGTTTGGGGTACTGGCGTTGAGGGTCAATTTTTTTAACTGATTTCGGTGCTCTTCCTTGCTGCCTAGATCTGGAATGATTCGGTGGATCTACAGGCTTCTGAACTTCGCGTCTCAGCTTACTGTACATGGCTTGCACTACAGCATAGGGAAGAAAGCGGCAGGTGAAAGGGCCTAAATACATTGAGCCTAACATTGGTGTCGTAGTATTTCGGGAGTTTTGGCGAGCTCTATCAATCAAATCGCTCGGGGTCTACATAGGTGGGTGGTCTAATTATGAGACTACATTGCGTTGGTTGTGGTTGGACATGCAGTGTCTTTTCGAGTCTGTATTCACAATTCTGTTTTGTCCGTCTCGTGAAATTTCCACAATCCGGCACGAGACCCGTCCTTGCTTCGAACAACCATAAGTTTGGACGATGCATTATACATCAGCCATATGGGCCGTATGCGCCTTTGTGCATTCAAACTAGATGCAAATCTTGCAGGGATCATAATAAAGGATTACGTAGTATCATTATAGCTTTAATGAGGGCTTGACATGGCCCTAGCAAAAGCACAAGGCATAAGGCGCAACGATGAGGTGTAGGAACGGCTTAGCATGCCTTCATAAAAGGGCTTAACGCGATGTCTCATTTTCTGCCGTGAAAACGGTTTACGCACAGAACGCTTCGTAAAGCTTTCTACAGCTATACTATATGGCTTTAAGCAGGGTTTCGTAAGAAGGCTTAATGTTATGATATGGCTTAATTTAGTGTGAGTAGAGTATTGCCCTCATAAGGTGGAATGGCTATAACAGTGCCTAACTAAAGCCGCAACCCCTCAACTCTAGACCTGACCCCTAAACCCGAAACCCCAACCTCTAAGCCATAAACGCTTCACCCTAAAACCCAACCCCCAGTCCCGGACCCCTAACTTACTTCCCTAGGGTAAACTTTCAGATTCCGGCTAAACTGTATCGAAGGAACATCCCTTCAAGGAACCCTTACGTATAGAACGCTTTAATGGAACCCTATAGACCCCTATAGAACTAAAGGACCCCTTTAAAGGTATTGCAGAACTAATCTACCCAGAGGCCCCATAGTAGTTCATTTTTGGGATCACCCTATAGGATTCTATATATGAACACCCAAAAGGAACCACTGGGTAAACCCGAAACCGCTCACGGATCCCTTTCCCACCTCGTCGGGGCTCCGCGCCATGGCGAGAAGAGGCCCTCCTGGCTCGCCGGGGCAGCGCTTTTAGGGCATTTTGGGCTTAGGGGTTTAAGGGTTTATGGGTTTAGGGTTTAGGGGTTTTAGGGTTTCAGGGGTTTAGGGCTGAGGGGTTTTAGGGGTTGAGGGGTGTAGCGGTCTAGGGGTTAGGGGTTTATATACGGGTTTAGGGTTGAGGGGTTTGGGGGTTAGGGTTTAGGGGTTTAGGGTTTAGTGCTCCGTCAAAGGAACCTATGTAGGCTCCTTTAACGGTTTCTGTGAATTTGTTAAGGGTTTCGTGACTGTCTCCTTTAAGGGAACCTATAAGATGCTATAAGGGTTCTTTTCAGGGTAACAGGGTTAAGGAGTCCTGTAAGGGATCAATTTAAGGCTTTTTCAGGTTTCATGTAAAGTTCGATTTTCTTAGTATTCAGGATCTAGGGTTACTGAAACGGTTCCTCTAAAACCGCGTTCTCAATGAAACCACGATTGGGGCTCCGTCCATGGATCCATCCGACTACAGGGTTTCTGTAAGGGTTCCAGAAGTTTAGGATTTTAGGGGTGACTATACGGGAGACGCATAACTCTTTCCAAAAGGGCTCTGTCAGAGATTGTGGTATGGTGTGCCGGATCTAGGGATTTGGGGTTTAGGATTCCTGGCAGTCGGGATCCTGGTGTCACTGCCTCCCGTCAGGTAGACCTGATAACCGACTTTTTTGTAGGTTCCTATTACAAACCCCTTATATGGAATTTATATGGACCCTACTTTTTTGTAGGTTTTGGTAGGTTCTCACTGCCGGTGTAGCCGACACTGCACTCACTGTCGTCGAAACCGTCGGTCCTAGTATCGTCGGTACAGTGCTCGGGCGCTGCATTGGCGGAGCCGCCTGGCTCCCTGCTGAGCTTGTGGATTCTCCGGCCGCTTGAGTCGACTTTCGCACAGGCAGTTTTGGTAGGCGCTCGCCCAGCGTTGGCAACTCATGGCACACGACCTCGAAACCTTGCTGGACGCGACTGTCAACCTCTGCGCCAGGTCCGTGGCGAGGCTCTCGATGTGGACCAGAATTTTGGACAGCTTCGCTGCTTGCTTGCAGAGTTTGCTGCGCCAGCATCGATGCATCGCATTAGAGCAATGCTGTAGGGTATTATGTTTTGCTATAGGTATACTAAGCAGCCCTAAGGAACGGATGTCGGCAATTGTTTACAAGGGCCCCTGTATTGCGGGTTTGGAGCGGGCATTTCGGGTACCCCCTGTATGATATCATGTGCAAAAGCCGTTTAGGTTCTGCTGCACCGGTCTTGACGTGCAGAAGATGTAATCTCAAAGGGCCCAAGTATCATTATGGCATATGCTTACAGGGTATTTTGGGGGTCTAAGTATAAATATACCATAATGATACTTGGACCCTTTGGGGTACTTGCAGCTTGCATCTCGAAGGTAACACTTTTCTCGATCTGTACACCCTTCCTAAGCTGACCTCAGACAAGCTCAACCCCGTAGTTGCTGAGTTCATAAGCCCCCAAAAGTGTACACTTTTAGTTTTATAGTTGGTTGTATTATACCAAAAAGTCAAAAGCATATCCACTCAGCTACTAAGACCCTAGCTTGGAAGTCCATGGGTTTGGCCCTTGTGCTGACATGAAAACGTTCATCGAAGAAAAGCCGCGACAAGCCCAAACGCCAGCTAGTGCTGGCATACCCTAAGGCTCCATAGTGGTTCCTTTTGGGGGGTCATATTTAGAACCCTATAAGGTACTCCCGAAAAGGAACCACTATGGAGCCTTCGGGTAGCTGCTAGCAACTCGAATATGACGAAGAGGCACCACGGAGCTGCTTCTATATGGATAATCCCTTTTTGGGTATCCTAAATATTAGGTGCCGTACTACATTAGGGACCCAAAAAGGATCATAATTTTGACAACCACCCAGATGCATACGAGTAGTTCTCTGAATTAAGATCCCTTTTGGGGGTCTCTTGTTGATGAGGGTGCCGTACTAGGTTGGGGACCTAAAACGGCATCCTATTGTAGAGAACTGATTACGCAAAACTATAATGCGCCCAAACAAAATTCAACAGAAGCAATTTCAAAAACCCTAAACCCTAAACCTGATGCCCACAGACGTGTTGGTGCTCGTGGAATTCCTCGCTGCACTCGGGCCCTCCGCATGTCGTACATATGTAGTTGTGATGCCGAGGCTTCCATGGTCTGCTGTATACGTGAAGCCCTGTGGGGTTGGGGCAGTGGCAGGTAGAATGCCATGTGCTCTTGATATTGGACTGTAGTTTGTCGTGTGTTCCTCCTGTTCAGGCGCACGAAATTATCGAGATGATGCATGGACGACTTCCAGGCTAGGCAAAGCTGCTGTGTACCATCGACCTCTTTTCTTGCACTTGGCTCAGGCACAGTAGCGAGGTGAAACCTGACATGCAGCGACAGGCCATGTCACTATAAAGCATGTGTAGCTCTGCCGCAATGAGAGTTGTTTAAGTCGCATGGCATGGCGACGACTCTCGGACAGGAGTTTCCGTAGGTTTCGCGGGGCCAGGTCCGTTTTGGTTCGGAGTCGGCGCGTCGAGGTTCTCCACCTGATCTCTTGTGACCACACCGTCGCCCGTTGGTTCGAAAGCACAGTCGTGCAATATTAGACGTACGGGCTGCAGAGGTGACCTGAGGCACTCTGATTTCAGTGTTACTCGACGCGCCTTCCGTACCAGCCTGTCGAATTTAACTTCTTCGCAGTGAAACCTCGTTGGACGATGCATGCGACGGCCACTCAGAGTGTAGAATCTAGAAGTCGGCCGTGAGGGTGTCGCGACAAACATGTAGGAAGCACTGCACAACTAGAGGTCTTTGTGGACTCCTGTGAATAACGACGGTCCGTGGACTATTCTTCACCGGATAAGCCTTGAACTCGGCTTCGCGCTCGTAGCCAAAGCCTAGCAGCTGACTGTCTCCCGCTATGAAGCCGTTTGCTTCATGGGCTCTCTTCCAGCTGCAAGGTGATAGTCCGTGAACTACTCGAGCAAACTCTTCGAGCTGCACCTTCCTCAGTCCGCCTGCCCAGCTGACCTCTGCATATTCATACTCGGACTGGTAGGTTTCATCGAACATGGCAGCGCGTGCCCTTGGGTAATTCCAGATGCAAAATCACCTATTCGATGGCCGTTGGAGCTTTAGCTTCGGTCGTGTCGAGGTTTTGTTGTGTTTTGCGTAATTGGTCTTGTTGGCTGACGCTTTAACCGGGATGTACATGTGGCAGTTTGAGCTAATGTACAAGGCTTCGCGCTGCTGGATTGCTTTGTGTGGGGGCTTACTGTAGAGGTGTAACCAAAATTGTTTGCAGACTTGCTGCGAATTGAGAAACAAGCGGAACAGACAAAGCCGCGAAACTCAAGCAGTGCAACGGACATGTTGCCACTACAAGTGTTCTGTCTATGTACTGTAGCTTCCGTTTTTCTTGCTGAAGATGACTGCAGATGTTCACCTAGACGCACTCGTCTAGGGCTTCGGAGCTCACTCTGCTAAGGCCGTGTCAAGTAACATGAAAACGTCACGCTTCTTCCCTCGCTTTCACGGGCACACTGCCAAGGTGAGACTTCTTTTCGTGCTTCGCATGAATCAGTAGGTTCGTGTGAAACGCTCAATATGGCTTTCGCAAGCGATAAGGCTTTAGCTTCGCTCTGACCGGTAGGTAAAGACCGCTGATTCGGCCGGGCAGCTTCCACTCCAGTGGTTTCGCCAACTTCAGAACCTTCCAGCCGTGTTGCGCTGAGTCAGAAAGCGAGTGGGTGATCCACTGCACTTCACAGGTCTGGGGCCCCTGACTTCCTTGCCACACGCCATCAGATGCTCGGCTCCTGTGCCGACGCAACACATGCGTGGAAAGCTAACATGTTCTGAAACACTGCCTGTAATGTGGCCCTCTGGCAGGTGCACTTCAATGGGGCAGCTCCATAAAGTGATTTCACCTGACAAGACATGGCACACCGAGATACTCAACGATGATCTTAAGATGATTTTCGACTGCGCCCGGCCTTCTCTCCGTTGTAACGGAAGCATGACCACCTGTCATTTCCCAAAACACAAAAGGAAGTTTTTCTGTGAAGGCACCTGTAAGACCATGCGGCCTGCGTGCACATGTCGTGCTAGTCTTACTGGGACTCTATCGATGCTCTTGATCTGATTGGTTGCAGCGGCTTTGACACAATTTGAAAAGCGACTGCATCGAGACCCTTCCGGAGGGCTTTCCAGGCGATTTTGTGGCCTCGGACCCAAGTTTAAAGATCTGTGCATTGTTGTAGCAATATGTTTGTAGCACTTGTGGTTGGAAGCGCATGAACGGCTCGAGTGCTGGAGCCTCCGGCCCGCGGTATAGGTGAAGTGCGAACCTGGAACTTGGTGCCTTACTTCGTCTAGTTGCAGGTAACAGCCGGCATTCCGAGCTTTATTTTTTGCACTGCCGGCGGCGGAGACGCTGCAGCTGTCGCTCAGACCTGACAGTCAGAGTCGCTGGACGTTTGTGTCGAACATCTGGGATTGCGTGGCCCGGCCTCGTCTAGCAGGTCATCTTCCCAAGCCCACGCTTGAGAATAGAAGCTGTGGCGCCACCGGTAGCAAGACGGGTCCGGCAAAGCCTCCACTTCTTCGCCTCACCGAGTGTGGGATGAGTTGCCTACCCGACTCTGCAAGAGCTGAGTGCGATGCAGACCCAACCACTCTCTTTGAGAATGTCGATGGCTTTCTGGACCTTGACGACGCCCTCGCGACAGGGTTTGTCATAAAACGACCACAGACGTGTTGAAGCGTCCGATTCCTGCGCACAGCTTCTTCCGGATTTCGCGGAGCATTCGCCACCGCACTTTCGGATAGAATGCTCTAAAGCCCTGCAGCCCTAAAGCATACTACAAGAAGCCTACGAGAACCCTAGACACTAAAGACTTAAAGCCCAAACCCTGAAAGCCTTAAACCCAAAGCCTAAAAGCCTTAAACCCAAAACCCTTAAAACCAAAACTCCTAAATAACAAAGCTGAAATCTCTGAGGCCTGGCCTGTGCCGTCAAGGGAAAAGTCGGTGAGGCCAGACCTTCAATTCTTGGGCATTCAAGGGCTCCTTTCAGAGTTCCTTTTCACATGGTTCTTGCATCAGGTCTCCTTTTAAGGGCTCTTAGGGGCTTCTGCGGATGGGGTTTACGGTGTCGGGAATGAGGTTTCGGGGTTAGTGCTTCAAAGGCTAGCGCCCTTCGGGGCTTCCAGGGCTTCTGGCTTAGGAGTAATTATGAAGTTTAGCGCTTAGGCTCTAAGAGGTGTTGAAGATACATGCTAGCTGTACTTTCTGATGTCAATGGTGCTTGGCCTTGTGATACGTAAAAGCACTCTGCTCCTCCTGAAGAAGCTCGCGCGCCTTTTCTTCAATATTTCGATCTGAATTCCAGAATATACGGGACTTCATTGCAAAACCCATTTGGTGAGTTTCCGAAAATTAGGGGGTACCTTATTTTGGGGGTCCTTATAACAAGGATCCTACCATTTAGGGGGACTCCCCTGTTTTCGGAAACTCCGATGTCAAGAACGGCCTTCTTGTGTCGGGACATCAATGCAAAACCCTAAACCCTATATAAGCCCTATTGAAGAAAACGATTTCAATGCCAAGACACAAGAAGGCCATCGTCCAGCTCACGGCGTAGTTGGCGTGCGCCAGGCCCGTACCTCAGCTCTTTCGGCTTGGGGATATGGTTTAGGGTCACTATAAGGGTACTATAAGGGTTCCTTTAAGGGGCTCTATAAGAGTTTAGAGTTTCCGAAAATTAGGGGTACCTTTTTTGGGGTCTTTATAATAGCAAGGATCCTACTATTTAAATTTAGGGTACTAAATTAGGGTCCCCTATTTTCGGAAACTCCCATATGGTTTAGGGATGTTCAGGGTTTCGGGCGTAGGGGTTGAGGGGTTTTGAGTTTAGGGCATATAGAGGGATGTTCAGGGTTTACGGGTTAGGGCCAGGGGTTGAAGGGTTTGGGGTTTGGCGTTTACATAGGGGTTTGGGGGCTGTGGCTTCGGGCTCACAGTTTGTTTCTCCGTTTCCCAGCCTTCCAAGTATCACGTATCTGGGTTCAACGTTTAGGGTTCGGAGTTTCAGGTTTAGCACCCGGGCATCTCATACGAATGCCACAGTAAACCCTAAACCCTAAACCGTGGCTGCCACAGGCACTTCAATTGGCTACCTGAGGCATCGGAAGATTCGCTATACAAAGCTGTTCTTTGAAGAGGGCGGCACCTTCAAGAGAAGGGGGGAACACACCAGAGCAACACTTAGAACTCGCACTACCTCGGTTTAAGGTCCGGACATCGGTTGGCAACATGATTTGGATCCACCACCGTTCGGGTAGTCTGATGAAAACAAAGTAGCAGCGGTCGCGTGGTCTTGGTGGCGGCTTGGCAGCAGAGGTAGCAGCTGTAGCAGCAGTACCAGAAGTGGCAGCAGTGGTGGCAGTAGTGATAGTTTTCAGTCGTCGTCGTAGTAGTAGTAGCAGCAGCAGCAGGCAGCAGTAGCAGTAGCAGGAGCAGGAGCAGCAGCAGCAGCAGGAGGAGCAGCAGTAGCAGTAGCAGAAATAGCAGTAGAAGTCGTCGTCGTCGTGGAAGTAGAAGTAGTATTGCTGCTGCTGCTACTGCTGCTCCTACTGTTATTGCTACTGCTACTGCTACTGCTATTACTACTTCGACGACAACGACTACTACAAGCACTGCTCTTCCTCGTCGTTGTCGTCGCAGTCGTCGTAGGAGTAGTGGAATTGGCAGTGCAGTGGCAAGTTGCGGTTACAGCCCACTTCGACGGCCACCACCACCACGACGACAACGACGACTATGATGACGAAGACGACTACTCCTACTACTGCTCATGCGGTTGCTGCAACTCCTACATGTAGTACTAACCGTGGCAGCACCGATGATTTCGAGGTTGGCGGCTGCTGCTGCTGCTGCTGCTTCCAAGATACACTGCAGTAGCACCAATCCGTTTATTATAGAAGGATCGCCATCGAAGCCCCACAGTAACAACATCGAAGCAATGATGTGGAAACAGCTGCACTTTATGTGACCCTGGGTGCATCGTAAGCTCGATTCCTTCTGAGGTGCTCTCTGCAGGCAGCGTCTTCACGGCGAGGACTGGCTGCTGGTAGCCTTAAAAAAACGAAGGGGGTTCAGGATCCCGGGTTTCAGCTTCGGAAGTTTTCCTACGTGCCTAGAACTTGTCGAGCCAAAGGCCTCTACCCGAAGCTATATACTTTAACCGAAACCCTCAGCGTGTAACTTCCGAAACCTGAGACAGACTCTACTTAACTGTACACGGCGGAGCGGTTTTTTTTTTTCCTAGGTCTGGCCCTCCCCGGCTTGCTTTCCTAAGTCTGGCCCACTGGTTGTGGTTGCCAACAGCGGCAACTGCGGTCTTTGCTGCATCAAGCTATTGGGGAACTAGAATTTGACGGCTCTGGTTTTGCTTCTGTTTTGCATGAAGCTATTGGGGAACTACAACTTGCGGAGTCTGATTTTGCTTGTGTTTAGCATGAAGCTGTTGGGGAACCACAAGTTGCAGGGTTCGGTTTTCTTTGTGTTTTGCATGAAGCTATTGGGGAGTTCGCATTTGCAGGGATCGGTGTTGCTTGTGTTTTGCATCAAGCTATTGGGGAACTACAATTCGCAGGGTCTTCTTCTGCTTGTGTTGTGCTTCAAGCTATTTGGAACTAGAACTTGCGGTGTGTTCTTCTGCTTGTGTTTTGCATGAAGCTATTAGGGAACTACAATTTGCGGTGTGTTCTTGTGCTTGTGTTTTGCATCAAGCTAAGGGGGGAACTACAATTTGCGGGGTCGGCTTTGTTTGTGTCTTGCATCAAGCTAATGCGGAACTACAATTTGCAGAGTCTTTTATTGTTTGTGTTTTCCATCAAGCTAATGGGGAACTAGCATTCGCAGGGTCTGGTTTTGCTTATGTCTTGCATGAAGCTATTGGAGCACTACAATTTGCAGGGTCGTGTTTCGCGTGTGAATATTGCGGGATTACAATTTCAAATCTTCTGTCTTGTGTCGTTGTTTTTTGGTGTCGTTGTCGACATCCTCGTCATCGTCGTCGTCATCGTCCTCGTCGTTGCCGTCGTGGTAGTTGTTCTTGTTGTTGTTGTTGCTGTTGCTGGTGTTCTTGTTGTTGTTGCTGTTGTTGTTGTGGTTGTCGTGGTGGTTGTGGTTGTGGCTGTTGCTGTTGTTGTTGTTGTTGTTGTTGTTGTTGTTGTTGTTGTTGCTGTTGTTGTTGGTGGTGGTGGTGGTGTTGGTGTTGTTTGTTGTGTGTTGCTTGTTGCTTGTTGCTAGTTGTGTTAGTTGTTAGTTGTGTTAGTTGTTTAGTTGTTAGTAGTTAGTTGCTAGTTGCTAGTTGCTAGTTGTTAGGTGTTAGTTGTTCGTTGCTAGTTGTTAGTTGTTGGTGTTAGCTGTTAGTTGTCAGTCGTTGGCTGTTATTTGTGAGTTGTGAGTTGTTAGTTGTTTCTTGTTAATTGTTGGTTGTTTCCTGCTTATTGTTCCTTGTTTCTTGTTTGTTGTTGCTTGAAAGGGGTGAGGGATCAAAACAAAATTAAATAAGGATCAAAAAAAATTAAATGGAAAGATCAAAAAAAATTAAAATAAGGATCAAAAAAAATTAAATCGCTCAAAATACAGCAATTCCTGGGGCAGAGGCATCAAAAAAAATTAAAACAAGGATCGAAAAAAAATAAATCACCTAAAATACAGCAATTCCTGAATTTTTCCAAGGGAAAACACTGTTTTCCTAGTGATTTTCTTTTGTTTCCTTAGGATCTGTTTGGTTTTTCCTCTGGAAAACACGATATTCCTGCGGATTCCGTTGTATTTCCCTAAGTTTTCCTTAATTTTTCGTAGGAAAAAGCCTATTTTCCTCTTACCTATGGCGTTCGTGTCATTTCTTCAGGTTTTCAGAAGGACAACATATGGTTGTTCCTCGGGAAAATCAAATTTCCCTTACAATTTCACATTTAGGACGGATTTCCTGTTGTAGCTGTTGCTGGTATTCCGCTTCATCATCTATCTTAAACACGCCCCTCATTTGGCGATTCTGGTTCAGCATGTATCTACAAGGGCGGAGACGCCCTCATTTGCTGGGTTTAAAAAAAGGCATATGCTTCAAAGCAACCCTGCACGGCTTAAAACAGGGGGGGGTTTGGGGGGGGCGCAGCCCCCCCCATTTGCAGAGACAACGTTCACATGATGGGCTTCGAAAACACTCTTTGAATCAAGCTTGCACGTCTCGAAAAGCGCGGCGGCGGGTGTTTTGTTCTTCCGCGCCTGTTCGTGTCTCTTCTTCCGTTAGCATTCTAACCTAATATATATATATATATATAACATAGTAAACCAGAAGAACGACATAAGATGGTTCGACAACACAAAAAATGGTGTGACATTTTCTGACATAACAGAACCTTGCTTCTTATAGCATATAATAGCATACTAAAAATACAACAATACAATATAACGGAAGATGACATAGAACAAAACAACATCTTAGTTTATAGTGTAGTACATTGTAACATAGTACAATACAGTGTGTATATTTACAACATAATATGTAGTACATTTTATAACATTAGGTTACATTATGTTATATTATGTTACGGTACATTACGATATTATGGTAAATTCGATTGGGCTATGTAGTATCCTGTTGCTTGTATCTTTGTTTCTGTGATTATTTCATATTATTTCTCTTTCGTCTTTTCCAACTTTGCTTTTTTATTCTGGACTTTCTTTCTTTCGCTCGTTCATTTCTTTTCTTTCTTTCTGTTGTTCTTTCTTTGTTCATCTCATACTCCCTTCCTTTCTTTCTTGCTTTCTTTCTGGTTTGATTTATTTCGTTCTTTCTTTGGCTCGTTCTTTCTTTCGTTCTTGCTTTCGTTCTTTCTTTCGTTTTTGCTTTCGTTCTTTCGTTCGCTGTCTCGTTCTATCTTTCTTTCTTTCTGTTTTCCTTTCTTTCGTCCTCTTTAGATACAGCAATTTTTGAATTTTTCCCAGGGGGAAACACTGTTTTCATACGGATTCGTTTTCATTTCCTGAGGATTTGCTTGGTTTTTGCTCGGGAAAACACGATTTTCCTACGGATTCCGTGGTATTTCTTTAAGTTTATTTCTTTAGTTCTTGCTTTCGTTCTTCCTCTTGTTTTTGCTTTCGTTCTTTCGTTCTCTCTCTCGTTCTTTCTTTATTTCTGTCTTTCTTTCTTGCTTTTTAGATACAGCAATTCTTGAGTTTTTAAAGCACAATGAAGCGATAGTCTTACGTATCGTTCTTCTTTATTTTCCGCGTCTTTCTTGTTCCTTTAACTATTTCTGTTTTTCTTTCTTAATTTATGGCCTTCCGTCTTTCGTTATTTCTCTGTTTTTTGTTCTTTGGTTATTTATTCATTGTTTGTTTTGTTTTTGTTTCTAACTCTCTTTGGTTCTTTCCTTGTGTGTTCTTTTTTCTTTCCTTATGGCTTGCTTTCTTTACTTAGTTCTCTATTTTTGTTCTCTTTCTTTACTTGTAGCTTTCTTTATTTACTTATTTCTCTGTTTCGTGCATGGCTTTCTTTCTTTATTTCTTTATTTAGTTCTTTCTTTCGTGTGTTCTTTATTTCTTTCTTTCTTTCGTTGTTTTTTTTATTTCGTTCTTTGTTTCGTTCTTTCTTTCGTCCTTGCTTTCTTTCTTCCTTCCTTTCTTTCTTTCTTTCGTTCTTTCTTTCCTTCTCTCTCTCTCTCTGTCTTTCTTTCCTTCCTTTTTCCCCTTCCTTTCGCGGATACCCGTTTATTGTTTTTTGATCCTTATTTAATTTTTTTGATCCTTATTTAATTTTTTTGATCCTTACTTAATTTTTTAAACCCCTATCCCTTTCTTGATTTGTTGTTTGTTCTTTCTTGTTTATTGTTAGTTGTTTGTTGTTAGTTGTGTTAGTTATTTAGTTGTTTGTTGTTAGTTGTTTGCAGGTTTGAGGGTTCAGGGGTGCAGGACCAGGAGAGACCAGGGGACCAGGGAACCAGGGACCAGGGGACGACCAAAGGACCAGGGCACCAGGGACCATGGGACCAGACCTAGCAAGGCCCGCCAGACCAGGCCAGACCTAGGAAAAAAAAAAACAGTGGACCCAACTGTACACCGTTGCACATAAAGCCTACATACGCTGGACTCTTCATGGTCCTCTTATTGCGATGGAATCACCTCCTGTCCCTTGAGACTCATTTCTACCACCCTAAACCCGAGACCGTAAGCGTTTTCTTCAGGGTTCACATTGAAGACAGAAATTTCGGAGTTTCTCGACCCTCCGGCGCTCAAGAGCTCACGGCTTTCGGATAGCTTCTGAGGTTCTGCAGGGCTCTACAAGGGTTTCGATATGTGATTCAGGGTGCATGTTTATTGGGGCTCATTATTATGTTCTTTTGGTCTAGCTATTCCTGCGCTTTCGTTGGAGGAGGGTGGATCTTTGCACGAAGGAATCTACTGATGTTTCGGGTGCGAAAATCCGGAGCTTTTGGCTGAAGCTTTCTTGACGTAACCTCCCGACTTCGGGTGGACCAACCTCGATCCCTAACGTCTCAATCCAACAACTCAAAATTCCCACTTCTAAATCCCTGTCCTATACAACTGCAACCCTGAAACCCAAGTTCTGAAATCCATAAACAACTGCAACCCTGAAACCCAAGTTCTGAAATCCATAAACCCCTAACATCCTAGACCACTGAAATCCTGAACCACCCTACCCTAAGGCTCTATAGTAGTTCCTTTTTGGGGTTCATATTCAGAACCCTATAAGGTAATCCCCAAAAGGAACCACTATGGAGCCTTAGGGTAAAGCCCAAGCCCGTTCAAAAAACCCTCGCTGTTGACTCCAAGCAGCGCACCCGAGCGAGAGTCGCATGAATCACCTGGGAGGATCTGGCAGTTCGGGCTTGAACAATTTTCTCCAAGGGTTCTGAAAAGGGTTCTATAAGAGCTCTATATATAGATAAATGTATATATATATATATATATATATATGATTAAAGATATTTATATATGTATATAACTGTAAATACATATCATATACTATGGCGTTGGGGTTTTAGGAACTTTGGGCTTGGTTCTGGACGCAGTAGGGGGTACAGGAGTTTCGGTCTTAGCAACTTCTCAATAAACCGACAGGTATTCAATGTAAGGATCTTGGGATCATCGAGTGCTGATGAAACCTATGGGGGAGTAGAGTTCACGGCCCCGGCTGCGCAATGCGTCGGACATCTCATTCGGCAAATTCCTGACAGGAGAGTTGCTCAGAACAACCTACTATAAGACCGTAAACCAGCAAACTACCCCGAACCCTAAAACCGAAGCCTGCCCTCAGCCATGCCCTCAACCCTAAACCTTAGAAGCCCTAAACCCTCCGCCCTAACACCTAAACCTGCCCTCAGCCATGCGTCACACCCTGAAACCTTCACCCCATCGCTCTTCCAACTGGTCTCAACTTATGTCGGAGTTTCCGCAAATCAGGGGTACCTAATTTTGGGATCCTTATAGGAAGCATCTTACTATTTAGGGTACTATACTACCTTTGAGTGCCCTGTTTTCGGAAAACATGTGGATCTCGAGCCTTAACATAGACTCGACCACAGCAGAGGAACTCGGCTCCAATCCGGAGTCGCGGGAGGTGTTCGAGATGGGAGTTGCCGAAGACAGGGCGCCCTACTATAGTACCCTAAATAGCAGGATCCTTATTATTCCGAAAATAGGGGACCCTACTATAGTACCCTAAATAGTAGGATGCTTATCATAAGGACCCCAGAATCAGGTACCCCTAATTTTCGGAGACTTCCAGATGGCTTCTGGTTCAGGGCTGAATGTGAGTGAAAGCTGCATTTCAATAGACGCCTCGGGCCTTCGCTCGGTTTCGAGGTTGTCTTTGGGGCTCATTGGGGTTGCTCCGTTCTTCGCTGGGGGGCGTAGGCGAATATTTCTTAACAATGGGGGAAAAGGCCGCTGCTCCCGAAGCCTTTCACCGTTCCTTTTAACGCCCTTGAGGTCTCGAGGTATGGGTCTACCCCAAGGCTCCATAGTGGTTCCTTGTTGGGATATTATAGGTTTCTAAATACGAACCCCCAAAAGGAACTACTATGGAGCCTTAGGGTAGTAATTGTAGCGTTTAGGAGCTTAAGGTCGCAAGAGAAGGCTGGACCATGGAAGCCCAGCTTACAGCGGCCGAGCAGAAAAGCCAAGGTCGCGGCTAAGTAGGGCAGCCATTCCTCAGGAATGTAGCGTGCGGAAGCACAAAAGCAGTCTAGAGGGGCAAGGAGATCGCGCATACGACGAAGTGATTCCATGTAATTATGTGAATCGTCCTCAGAGTCAGTGGAGGTTCGAAGTATGGCGAGAGATCCGCAAGCTGTGAGAAGAGTGGCAGAGCGGAGCAACCACTCTCCAAAACCGTCGTACCCACAGAATTGCGACCGAGGGCGAAAGACTATCTTCTGAAAACTGGCTTTTGGCACACACTGAACCCCAAAACCCTGAACCCTAAACTTGCATGCCATGCTGGAGATTCAAGTCTTGCTAGCACGCCGCACGCTGCCAATGAATGCTGTTTTCCAGCAGGAAACGAGCATCTTGCAATGCCGGCAGTATCTGTTTGCCAAATACCATAAGGCTCCATAGTGCTTCCTTTTTGGGATTACCTTAATTATAGGATTCTACATATGAACCCCAAAAAGGAAGTACTATGGAGCCTTAGGGTATCGACTCTATCCTACGTCTTATTCTGAGAGCGCAGAGAGGCACCCCAAGATCCCAGGAGGTCGAACTCGAACGCTTAGGTAACAAAATACCCAAAGGCTCCATGTACCCTTATAGTAGATACTTAAGCCCCAAAGTAGTCCCTATATAGGTACTTTAAGGCCTAAGTATCTACTATAAGGGTACATGGAGCCTTAGGGATAAGATCGTGCCAGCTGTGAGCGTAGGGTTCGTGTTTCGGTTTATAAGGGCAAGATAATAAGAGCGCAGGTCGTACACGTAAACCCTGAACCGAAACCTACACCGGAAACCCTGAAACTGCGCCCTTAACCGCTAAACTACACTTACACTTTGAACCCTTAACCTAAAACCCTGTGCCAACGAGAAACACCATGGCTGCAGACAAGAAACTCGCAAGGAGTTGTGCAGGTAGGCCTGTGCCTGAGAGCCAGCCTAGACCCCTGATTTAACCTCCTCCCCGTCTGTCAAGGCATTATCCTAATCCCTGATCGCGGGAGGGAGATGCATCAGCAGCTCACATGGGGATTATTGGGTTGCTTTGGCTTCGCGTTTGGGCGAAACGAGGGGAGGGAGTACTTACGTGATCCGAAGACCGACACTGTATTTCTCAGGCAGGGCTTTTTGCAGGGTTAGTACGAATCAGCAAACTCAGGGATCCTCCCAAACGTTGCTTGCATGACGAGAATGAGGCAGGAATCATAATTTAAATGGTGGCTACTTGTAGTTGGCATAAAGCCTTCGGTAGGCGTTGCAGCGCTCAATCTCGGAACCACGTGAGTATGAAAAGAGACTGTCGGGCCTAAATTGCTCTGCTCGTCTCATGTAAACCCCAAACCCTAATCCCTGAACCCTAAACCACTGGAGTAGTTCCTGGACCCGGGCTCGCTTGATCTCGGTGCTGTTAATGAACTGTTACTACTGCTGGCTTCGGAACGTCGGTCTCGGCCATGATGTCTGCGCAGTACGCCGCGAAGCCTGCATGGGCTTTGATCGGAAAGCTTGGAGTTTAGGGGACTGAATTTAGTGCCCTTCAAGGCAACGTCTGCCCCCAAAAAAACCTTCAACAAGAACCTAGAGGACCTACCCTAAGGCTCCATAGTGGTTCTTTTTTGGGAATACCTTATAGGATTCTAAATGTGAACCCCAAAAAGGAGCTGCTATGCAGCCTTAGGGTACGTCCTACTGCTGCCTTCGGCGGACGAATCTTTAGCTGTATGCGTATTTGTAGCATATGTAAGTGTATCCATACCCATAGGCCCCAAAGTAGTTCCTTTTTGGGAATACCTTGTAATGCTCTAGATATGAACCCCAAAAAGGAACTACTATGGGGCCGATGGGTATAGATGCAGCTAGACTGTTAGACTTGTAATCAAGAAGAATACCCAGCAGCCTCCCAAAAACCCTACGCTATGAAGATTCAAGTTGTGTACTCACGGAATACGACAAGTTTGGTTCGGCCTCTCCCCCCGAACAGTACATTAGAGCGCTGTTGCTCAATCAGCGAATACGACCCTTGGCACAGATTCCACACACACACACGCACACACACATGTAGCTCGAGCCGGCGAAACCAGCTGCATGCATCGAGGGTCGTCCAATCAGGACTGCAGACCGCGACTAGTAGCCTTGTCGCTGCTGCCCTTGATGTTGCTGTTACTTGTATTGTTGCTGCTGTTGTTGGTCTTCGCCATCGTCACCGTTCTGCTTATTCTTCTGGCAGGCGAAGATGGTGATGATGACGACACTGAGGATGATCACTGCAGCCCATACGAAAGACACTGCTTGAGGCTATACTGTACTGCAGACCTGAGACATCCTGAAACAGGCTCTAAATCCTGCCTACCCCCTCAAAAAGACCTGAGACATCCTGAAAAAGGATCTAAATCTTGCCTATCCCTTCAAAGATCTTCAAAGTGCTCGGAGAAAGCAGACCTCCACCGACCTACTATAGGAGCCTTAACAATTAGAATAGGGTTTTGGCGTATGGTATACTCGAATAACCTATTATCACAAGGACCCCCCCCAAGATAGTTTCGGTATTTTTTAAGGCCCCTATATTACACATCTCGACGAGGAGCCTCTGCTTGGAACTGTCTCGAGCCTGCGGCTCTTTAGCCTGTGGAATGAGACACACCACCCAAACCAAGCAGCACAGAGTGTCGAGGATAGGGCTGCATCGGGAACATTTTGCAATGTCTTAGGTGCGGCCCCCATACAGTAATAGTCTATCATAGGGCTACTATTAAGGTCCTAAGATATCCATATTATGACTATTATTCAACTATTACTGAGTGGGGCACAACCTGTGACAGTCCAGACGAACTCCCCAAATCTTCCAACTATTCTCATGCTGCTCACGACACACAATCCCGAAAGCATGACTTCGTGGTCAACACCTTCCGCAAACACCCCTGAATGAGCATTGCCCAGATCCCTTAACCCTAAACACCCTTAAACCCTACAAACCGAAAAAACAAACATCGACAATTCAGCCTACTATTGATCCCCAAAAGGAACCACTATAAAGCCTTAGGGTATAAGCCCTAAACCCTAAACCCTAAACCCCAAACCCTAAGCCCCAAACCCTAAGCCCTAAACCCTAAGCCCTAAACCCTAAGCCCTAAACCCCAAACCCTAAGCCCCAAACCCTAAGCCCTAAACCCTAAGCCCTAAACCCCAAACCCTAAGCCCCAAACCCTAAGCCCTAAACCCTAAGCCCTAAACCCTAAGCCCTAAACCCTAAGCCCTAAACCCTAAGCCCTAAACCCCAAACCCTAAGCCCCAAACCCTAAGCCCTAAACCCTAAGCCCTAAACCCCAAACCCTAAGCCCTAAACCCTAAGCCCTAAACCCTAAGCCCTAAACCCTAAGCCCTAAACCCTAAGCCCTAAACCCTAAGCCCTAAGCCCCAAACCCTAAGCCCCAAACCCTAAGCCCTAAACCCTAAGCCCCAAACCCTAAGCCCTAAACCCTAAGCCCTAAACCCTAAGCCCTAAACCCTAAAACACACTAAGCCCTGGCCTTGCACAGCGGCACGGCGCAGTTCGTCCCGCCAGGCACGGACTGCTGCGCAGCCGCGAGGGGCAGCGAAGGCCTCGGGTCTGCACGGGCAGTCCTTTTAAGGGATCCTTAAAGGGTTCCTATAATTAGAATAGGGTTCCTTTAAAGGGTTCCTATAATTAGAATAGGGTTCCTTTAAAGGGTTCCTATAATTAGAATAGGGTTCCTTTAAAGGGTTCCTATAATTAGAATAGGGTTCCTTTAAAGGGATCCTTAAAGGGTCCTAGAAGGGATATATAGGGTTTTTAGGGGCCTTACTAATCAGAATAGGGTTCCTTCAAAGGGATCCTGAAAGGGTTCCGAAAAGATCTATCATAGGGTTCTATAATGTAGGGGCCTTAATAATTAGAACAGGGTTTTGTGTCAGATTATACTAAGAGCGTATAAGGCATGCACTACTTTAGGGTTTTTTGCTTACATACATACAGACATACAGGTATGCATGAATACATCAATGTATACTCATTTACTTACATACTTAGTTACTTACTTGCTTGCTTACGTACTTACTTCCTTACATCTATACATACATATCTTCATACTTGCTTACATTCCTACCGTCGTAGATGCATATATGCACACGGGCCCCCAACAAAAACACGTACATTTTTAGTGTACGTACTGTCTACTTACCCAATACAATGATGGACGTAGTGAAAACCTCAGTTGTAAGAACGGGACCTTCAGGTTTCAGTGACTTCGAGGTGTCGAAGAGGCTTACCCTAAGGCTCCATAGTGGTTCCTTTTGGGGATTACCTTATAGGATTCTAGAAATGAACCCCAAAAAGGAAGTACTAATGAGCCTTAGGGTATAGCACAGCCCGATAACCCCCAAAAACTAAAGCCCATGCATACCCTGAAGCCCTCATCCCCAAACCCTGAGGAGCCGAAGCCCTGTATTCTAAATTCTAAAGTGCCAGTCATTTGGGAGGTTGTCAAAAGTATGGTCCCTTTTGCGGTCCCCAATACGGTATGGCACCTAATATTTAGGGTAATCGAAAACGGACCATAATTTGACCACCACCCATTTTGCTGCATGTAGCTCCGGATGCTGCCGGGCCGCCCAGCTTTCGAAGTAGCGCGCCTGTCCTTTAGGATTTGGGGTCTGCTTACTACCGTCCTGGTGTCTTGGAAGGAGCAGCAGACATATGTGTCACGACTCAGGGTTTTAATTAACCATTGCAAGCAACGAGACGCAGCGCCGAAGATGATTGTATGTATTATGTTGGCGATCTTGACGACATTTCTTGAGAGGCTTGTGCATGAGTAATGATGGCGACGATTGCTCTTCTTTTGGACATTTCAGTGGTATTCCTGATGATGTTGATGATGATGATGTTAATGATGGTGATGATGATGATGATCATGATGATGATGGTGATGGTGATGACAATGATGATGATGGTGATGGTGATGGCAATGATGATGATGGTGATGATGATGATGATGGTGACGATGATAGTGATACAGATGCATGTCCATTTTGGGCACAGATCCCTACCCTCGCTGCACTTGCTTCTAGAATACTGCATTCCAGCCTCCGTCGCTGTGCCAAAGGTGTGGGAGTAGACCTTATCAGAGTTTGCGGGAGTCTAAAATCCTGGCGTTACGAATAGCTTTGCCCAGAGAGCTTGTATGAGGTCTGTGGTTTTGAGACTTGTAGGTGTTGTTACCACGCAATAAAACCGGTGTTGGATGAGGGCCGTTTGGTAACATGTACGCCGCAAGCCTTCAGAATCGACCGGGGCTCAGCGACAAAGAACCGCGGGATTACAGAGTGTAGGGTCTGCTAAGTGTAGTTGGGCAGGCTGACTGGGGATAAAAGTTCGTCAACATTGGAGTCTAAATTTAAGGTCCAGTTAGAAGCCTGGAACTGCTTGTGCTTGAGGCTTAGGACTAGCCTGCCATGCCAAGACCAGTGGAGCAGAACAGTTAGCCACTTGATTCACTGATCCGGAAACTCCAGTAACCTACATGCTGAGGATGTCGCAGCATCGAAAATCAGACCAAAGCACTAACAAAACAACTTGCAAACGAGAACTCTCGACTTTACACCCTGCTCATTAGAGATCTCAGAGAACAGAAACAAGTTAGTTCCCGAGATCTTTTGCCCTGCAAGCACGTCTCTGGGAGTTTCCGAAAGTTAGGGGTACCTTATAGTAAGGATCCTTCTATTTAGGGTACTATATTGGGGTCCCCGATTTTTGGAAACTCCCATCTAAACCTTCGAGCTTTCAAAAAGACTGCAGCCCTGAATAATTCAATCTGCCATAAACCCTCTAACGAGGGTCCATGTAGTCGTCTGCTGCAACATCTATGACACCGTGGACAGCCACCCCAAGCCATGGGATCTCAAAAGCTAGGGCTCTTCGGACTTTCGTATTTAGGGTTTAGAGTTTACAGTTGAGGGTGTTTCGGGTTTAGGCGTTTACGGGGTTTGGGGTATTTAGGGGTTGGGGAGTTTACGTAGGGTATTTAGAGGGTCGGGGTTGAAGACTCAGCTTATCCCGATTTCTGGGTTCAGCATACCATCGGCCGCTGACTCCTAACCCCGCTCAAGCACATCTTCTCTCAAAGACACAGCCTGGGTTTAGGGTTTCGGGTAACGCAGATTTGGACGTTAGATTTGAAACGTCCCTGTTCGTATCAACATTCGGATGCCCAGCGGCTGCCGTTCTGATGGAAATACTTTTCCTTGGTTCATTAAACCACATGTGCATCCGTAACCCTAAACCCTGAAGAATGAGGGAGGTCTGAATGGGGATGATGATACGAATGGTATTCTTCCAGGAGGCAAAGAGCCTTTGGATTTCTTCTTTTTTGAACCCTCGTGTCTTTTGATTTCAGGGTTAAGGGTTCTGTCTCGATTTTGCTTTTGATTGAAGGTGCT